ATTCTAAAACGAGTAACCGGTTCTACTGAAATTGCCACCACTTCCAAACTTTCTCGTGGTACCATGAATAATGACGCATACCACGAAGTAACCGCCATTAAAACTTCGATAAGCATTGAGACGAGTGCGACTGAAGCGGGCAACAGATTTGCCCAGCTTTATAACGCTACTTTAAGCACTAAACCTAAGAACGCGTGCTTATTTTATGACGAGTTCTGTGATTACAGAACGATATACGAAGACGGCACCTGCGTCATAGCTAAGAACTGGAAAGAAATTAATAGTACTCTGTTAAGTTCAACGAACCTATCAGATATTTTCTTCAGATCGATTACTTCGGAACCCCGTGATGGTTCGTTGGACAAGCTGCTAATTACGGTGACTGGTGCACGTTTCAAGCATGTATTTATCGCGAATCGCCGTCCGAAACAGGGACTACGTTACGCTATAGTGAGGTCTGTGAAGCAATATATTCCTCTTAACCAACCAACACAGGTAACAACATTCAATGTGGGTGACAGTATTGCCGAGAATACTAACGATCACGAGTCAGAACAAAAGAATCAAGAAAACATTTCAGATGGTATCGTCAATTACGTTCATCCTTCTCGTAATGCCGTTATGAATAACAATCAAAGTACTATTACAACCGTGAAAAACCTACCGAAGACTATTCTAAAACAAGTAACCGGTTCTACCGAAATTGCCACCACAACCAAACTTTCTCTTGATACCATGAATAATGACGCATACCACGAAATAACCGCCATTAAAACTTCGATAAGCTTTGGGACGAGTGCGACTGAAGCAGGCAACAGATTTGCCCAGCTATATAACGCTACTTTAAGCACTAAGCCTAAAAACGCGTACTTATTTTATGACGAGTTCTGTGACTACAGAACGATATACGAAGACGGCACCTGCGTCATAGCTAAGAACTGGAAAGAAATTAATAGTACTCTGTTAAGTTCTACAAACTTATCTGATATTTTCTTCAGATCGATTACTTCGGAACCCCGTGATGGTTCGTTGGACAAACTGCTAATTACAGTGACTGGTGCACGTTTCAAGCATGTATTTATCGCGAATCGCCGTCCGAAACGGGGACTACGTTACGCTATAGTGAGGTCTATGAAGCAATATTTCCCTACAGACCACCCGACGCAGGTTAAAGCTTTCGCTGCGGGTGACAATATTGCTCAGAATACTTACAATCAAGAAACGGCAGGAAAGAAACAAGGAAACATTTCGGATGATATTACCGAATACAAGAAACCTTCTTTTAATGCCGTTAATATCAACACTTATAATGCTATTACAACCGTCGAAAACTCACCGAAGGGTATTTTAAAACGTGTAACCAGATCTACCGAAATAGCTTCCACTTCAAATCCAACTCATGATACCGTGATTAATGACGCAAATCGCGAAATAACAGTCAAAAACCCACCGAAGGGTATTTTAAATCGTGTATCCAGTTCTACCGAAATCGCTACCACTTCCAGACCGGCTCGTGATACCGTTAATAATGACGCGAAGCAGGAAATAACCGCAAATAACAATTCGAATGATGTTATGACGAGTGCGACTGAGGTAGGCTTTAAATTTGCCCAGCGATATTATGCCACTTTAAGCACTAAAAAGGATCTTGCGTACTTGTTTTATGAAGAGCACGGTGAATATCAAACGATATACGAAGATGGCACATCCGTCCTAGCTAAGAACTGGGAAGAAATAAATAGCGTTATTTGGAGTCCTGTAACATTTTCTGATATATTTGTCAGATCGATTACAACGGAATTTTATGGTGAATCGTTGGAAAACCTCTTAATTACGGTAATCGGTATACGGTTCAAGCATATATTTTTCGCAGATTACCGTCCAAATCGGGAACTAAATTACGTCATAGTGAAGTCCGTGAAGCAATATTTCCCTGCAGACCACCCGACTCAGGTTAAAACTTTCGCTGCGGGTGACAATATTGCTCAGAATACTGACAATCAAGAGACGGCAGGCAAGAAACAAAGATACATTTCGGATGTTATTGCCGAAAACAAGAAACCTTCTTTTAATGCCGTTAATATTAACACTTATAATGCTATTACAACCGTCAAAACCCCACCGAAGGGTATTTTAAAACGTGTAACCAGATCTACCGAAATAGCTTCCACTTCAAAACCGTCTCGTGATACCGTTAATAATGACGCAAATCGCGAAATAACAGTCAAAAACCCACCGAAGGGTATTTTAAAACGTGTAACCAGATCTACCGAAATAGCTTCCACTTCAAAACCATCTTCTGATACCGTGATTAATAACGCAAATCGCGAAATAACAGTCAAAAACCCACCGAAGGGTATTTTAAAACGTGTAACCAGATCTACCGAAATCGCTACCACTTCCAAACCGTCTCGTGATACCGTTATTAATGACACAAATCACGAAATAACCGCAAATAACAATTCGATTGGTGTTATGATGAGTGCGACTGAGGCAGGCTTCAATTTCGCCCAGCGTTATTACGCTACCCTAAACACCGAAAAGGATCTCACGTACTTATATTATGAAGAGCTCGGTGACTACCGAACCATTTACGAAGATGGCACGTCCGTCCTAGCTAAGAACTGGAAAGAAATAAATAGTGTTATTTTGAGTCCTTCGACATTTTCTGATATAATCGTCACATCGATTACCTCAGAACCCTATGGTGGATCGTTGGAACACCTGCTAATTACGGTGACTGGTATACGGTTCAAGCATGTTTTCATCGCGCATTACCGACCGAATCGGGAACTTTTTTACGTCATAGTGAATTCTGTGATGCAATATTTCCCAGCAGACCACCTGATGCAGATAGAAAATTCCACTGCTGGTGACGTTTATGCTGACAATACTAACATTCACGAGCCAGTATAAATATATCAAGTAATTATATCATACGATATTGATACCTACTATAAATCCTCTTTTAAAAACGTTAGTATTAATTCATTTACTTATATTACAGACTTGGATAATGGAATTTAAGTTTAATTCAATATTTTTATATTATTATTTCGCACACACTTTGGTCCGTTTACTATCTCTTCATTCGTTGTACTTGGAATGTACTTTCCGTATTTTGTGCCGTTTCTTTTTGTAGCATTTTAATAAATGTTTCAATTGTCTGACGGATTGCCTCGTATGATGTTACTGGTGTTCATTGGGAACTATCCGCATATGCCTTGTATGATCTTCTGACCTATTATTTTTGTGTTATCCATATGATAGCAGGTTACATTTTTTCGTCCGTTTTCTTATCTAACATAATCCTGTTGCAATTTACACTACAGACGTAAGCTCATGTAATTTTTAATAAGTTATAATAATTGGTTAATTATACGATTTAATTTATGTATAATTTAATATAGTTTTTACCCTTGGTACATAAAGCCAATAGACGTTAGATATTTAATAATGTTAATAATGTATCTTATAATTATTCATATTTTGTACAACGTTTTTTATACGTTCTCCTTTCAGATTTTATTATCTCTAATTCATTCTCAACGCCTAGCTATTAACTTATGAATTTTAACACCTTAAAAAATTTAAAGTATGGTATAATGTCCTAAATTAATATCACTTTTTATTGAACTTTATCCACGCGTGGCGTTTTAACAGTTTTGACCTCATTGACTTTACTGGTTTCTTTACTTACAGTTATTGTTGGTCATTTTTTAAAATCATCCCGTCATTGTGAGATTATTGTTATAACATTAGGTACCCTTATCATAACTAATACTAATCAAATCATAAAGACTAATGCAATATAATGTATATTGCTATCTATATCAAAAAACCTAGGATGTGGTCTGCTATTATATCGAGAACCCAAACTTATCAGATCGGGAGTTCCTACAGAATGTAAGCAGACATTTCCTAATACATTTAAAAACTCGTATGATAATACGGCAAATCGTTTTTCCTAGCATCCGCATAGCTGTACGACTAAACGTTTGGACGGCGGACCGTTATATAGGCCATCAACTAATCATAGTTTATGGAACTTTGGAACTAGTGATAGTCACTATCGAGTAAAAGTTTAGAAACACTCGAACTGTTGAACTTATCGGGTTATATTCCGACCCACGATAAAAGTAAACTGTTTCGCGCATGTGCACTGAAGACAGTGACTGTTTAGTGGTAGTGATTTTACCACTTTTTTCTATTCAGTTATGTGCTGCAGTTTGTATTCATGAGCATAATTGGATGCGTTTAGAAACGTATATATTTAAAATATCTACTCAACCAATAAATTAATCGGCAGTTTTATTTTAAACTATGATTGACAATCGATAGTTATAACTAGTCAGTTCTGCCCATCTCTAATTGGATCGTTTAAATAAAATGTTACACGTTAAACGCCAATTAAGTAAAACGAATCCAGAGACAACAAACGGACCGCAGTATGTGCAAAATAATAAGTATCGGAACACAAAAAACAACTGACGCACATAACGACCGTAATCATAACAAAAAGATTCAACACATTTTTATGGAAGTTGAGAGAGCTAACGGAAATGTTGCTACAGATCGAATGGACGGGCAGAAGCATAAGAGCTCACATTTCGACTGTGTTTTAAGCACCGTAAGAATACCGATATTAATAGATACCAGCGCAACGGATACTTAGCTGAGCTCCCTGTAGGAAAGTTCCCCGATTATCAATTTCTATTGTTCTTAACGCCGGTGGTGCAATTAGAATTTATTTTCGGGTGGAGGGGGGAGGTTATGAATATGAGAAAATTCAATTTTGGATAGTGTTCGGTGGTGTGGAAGGTGCAAGGTTTTGTTATGTATATGAGTACAAATTTAAGTTGTGTAACTTTCTTTTACAGACAACCCGTATTAAACAAAAAATTACGGTTTAATTTAATTAAATCTATAAGGTCTATCTTATTCTCAACAAATTACTATCAAAATCAAAACACCTATATCGTTATATCAATAATGATTAATGATATTCGCTGTGGTTTGAAAACAAACAATATTTCGATTAAAAAATAACCTTTAGAGCCATGAAAACTGCGTATCAGAATCTATAGGTTCGTTGCGCGACCTGTCTATCTTAAACTGTGTTCCCGACGTAATTTACTATGTTGCTAATCTTGCTTGTTATTTTCATTTGATAGTTATACGATATTTACGAAACCGACCTTCAAGACGCAGCCTAATCGATACTTTTGAGGTATAAAAGGTATTTTTGCGTACTTTTTGAGGTACGCAGAAACGTAACTCCTGACGATGGCAGCTGTTCGCTGGACCAAAACCAGTTCGACGATGCCCCACGGGTTAAAGCGCAGAAATGACGACGGCTGCTATTCACACTGCTATTTCGTGGTGAAGGTTCATTGAATGTTTAAAACAAGAATAGGTTTTATAAGAGGTATTATTAGAATATTTATAAACATTTGTACATTGGTACTTTTTTGTTATAATTCATAGACCCACTAACAAAATTATGAAACCGAAATAATATTGTGTTCAGATATAAATAAACCATTTCATTTTTGGAGAGTCTAGTCCGATGAAAATTGAGAAATTACAAGGATCATGACAAAAGAATTTTAGAGATCGTAGAAGAATTCAGCGAAATGCCAGCCATTCTGAAATATTCGAGAGGAGTGGCAGATAATCTTAAATTTTAAATTTATAATTTCTCTTTTTCAATTTGTATACAAAATGTGAATAATATTCCATTAAAATAGGTGAAAATTATAATAAATCAAATATTTTTTATAACAGTACTATTGAAGTATTTATTTATTTATTCGGAGATATTTTTACAGATCACTGTTTTTTCCATGTAGGTTTATCCGACAGAAATATCATTTCACTTATTTTAGATTCTTAATAGAATGGAATATATTTAGGTAATTTTTAATAATTTAGGTGATAAATATTTGAGTTTTTCATAATTTTATTTCGGGTTTTCCAAATAATTTCAAAAACCCTTTGGAAAATTAAAAAACGACCAGGCCATAACTAGACAAAGTATTCGTTCGGAGATGGTGCTATACTCTATCCGTGGGAGCAAGGTTTCTTTCAAAACGTTGTTTGTAGGCAGAAAAAAACTTAACACTTAACCTCCCTCCCTCTCCAGTGTTAACGCCACTGGGCAACGCAGTGTGGGGCGACTGGTTTGCTTATATATTAAACACAGGTAATTATTATCTTTAAGACAAACATTTATTTACCGTGTACATTTTTTAAACCGTTACTAGGATTTAAACGATTTGATCTTTCATGCATAAATGTAACATTTTATTATATTGATTACATTATTGTTTTTAATATTAAAGGTAATTTATATAAGAGTGCGGTTGGACCGACTGTATTGTACATTTTTGAATGTTGATCGATAGACTGAGAAATAGAACAAGGAATTAGTTAAGTAGAGATGAGGATAAAAGCTAATTAATAAAAAAACAAAACAGAACAAAACCATAAGACCAAAATTAAAACTTATTTTTTTTTCATTTTTCTATTTCAAATATTCAAAAATACTCGTATTTTATTAACTAATAATATTGTAAACTAACTCTGATAATAATGTACCTCCGGCCTATAATAATAACATAATATTTTGACCAATACATTTTTGAAAAGGAAAAATTTTACAACAAATATTTTTATGTTGAATGCTATTACAAATGTTCAACGTGAAACTGTTTTTTTTTTTTTTTTTTAGCAACTTTATACTATTATTATATTTGATGTAATTAAAACTAATTTGGTCCACCGCCTCATCAGTATCCGCCATAACTGCCGGAATTTCCGGATCCTCTGTTTCCTTCTGAAACGTAAAAACAAAATTACAATATTAATTATTGTTTTATATTAGTACTATAATATTTGGTCTGTCCATGTTTTTGTTTTTTTTTTTTTTTTTTATAAATAATAACTTCGAATTTCATTGAAAATTTTAAAAATGTTAATAATTTAAATATTTACTGAAACGGAGCAACCAACTCTTATGCTTACTTAATAGGTCATTAATTATGTTTGGACTAAGTTTGTATTCTTAACGCGTCGTTGTCACAAACGTATGTATAACCTATGGTGAAAATGTCGAGTCGAATAAGAAAAAGAGCTAAAAGCGGTGAACTAAAAATTCGCCAGTACGCTTTAAAGTATTTACCGATTCTATAAAATCCTAATTTAAATATTTTGTGGAAATTTCAGGTCCCTAGGAATATTTTTAACCAAATAAAAGTAAAAAAAAACAACAAAATAAAAAATAATGAAACCGTAACTTTTCAGTTTTTCCAACGTTTTTCCCCAATTATTTTAAAAATTACACGTATAATGGAATAACGATATGCTCTTTATATTCTAAAAAATAAGTACACGTCACAGTGAAACCATTAAATTCCTCGCGAAATCTAAAGCAATAAGAAAATAACAACATGTGTACAAAAGAAATTCAATACCGATCGAATAAGAGGTTTGAAAAGGTGCTATAATATTTTACTCCTAGAAAATCTATTGCGTGCAGTTCCATTTTTCATTTGTATTTTAATATCTAAATCAACATAATTCTTTCGATAAAAATACAATTTTTAAATTCTGAGTGTAAGTGAAGAATATATTGGTTTTACTAAAATGCTTATTTATTTATTTATTTTTATATATACCGTGTACAAAATTCCACTATAAATCTTGCTCCGATTTTTACGCGCGTTACAATTTCTGAAAGGGAAAGGGAATCCAGATAGCACTTTTTAGGAGAATTTTCAGGATTTTTTGATTTCCCAAACGGTTTTCATATTATCTGGAAAAAACCAGGATAAAACGTAAGAAAACCGGGAAAAATGTACAAAAATAATGCTTTTATTATTTTAAAATTTTGTTATTTGTGGTAACTGAGTAAGAAATTACGTGGAAAAAAACTAATTTTTCAATTTTTTATTTTTTAACGTTTATATGTTGCCGATTTAAGAACGGTGGTAAAGTCATAATCGAGCAGACTGACTTAGTTTCGAAATTATAGCTTTTTGAAGTTCTGATATTATGAGAATATATATATATATATTTCTGATATTATGAGAATATATATATATATATATATATATATATATATATATATATATATGTATATATTATGTCGAATAACTAAATATTGTCATCTCTATATTATGTTTGTCGTAGCCGAATTGTTATACATTCCTAGTTTCATCTTAGGGTTTCCGATTTCAAATGCGCGTTTCGAAAAAAATATTTTACACTTATTTTTTCACTTTTACCTAAACAGGGAAAAAACAAATGCATTTTAGATATACCTATAGACTCAGCTATTGCTCGCTCGGACTATTTCAATTTACAATGATAGCAATTTTTTTGAAAGGAAATTTGAATAGGAAGGAACAATGTTAGCGAAGTTATTTTTCGAATTTTTCAAGAGTTTTCCCAGCAAATGTAAAAAACCCGGAAAAACATTGGAAAACTGGGAGAGAACATAGATAAAATATATAATGCCAATTTAATTATTTTACCATAATATGACTTATATATTGTTGAAAACACATCAACACAATCAACTGAACTCCGCTTAGAATCGTTTTTTCGAAAGTAATAGATTATCTTTGCTTACAAATATACATTAAATTACCTATAATACTGGCTGTACCCATCTCCATTATCCAAGGCCGTTATTTTTAAAACGACGGCGTTAACCGGAAAATTCTCGATTATATTAAAATATTTGTAAATGTTTTATTTTTAACTTGACCAGTGCTCTATGGTCGGGTTATGGATTACGAACGAAAGTTTGGATACAGATCCAAGAAAACCCGTTTTTCGTTATACGTGGCACGACAGAGTGCACTGGCAATCAAGACGGTTGAATAGGTACGTAAATAGAACAATATTATTGTATTTTCGATGTATAATCTTGAAAAAAAAAAGTCAACAAAATGTTCAATGCTATATAGAATCATATTGCTGTATAGCAAATCGCGTTTGCGTATAATTATTATGTTTTTGTTGTCGAGTGCATTATGAAGATTGCGAGAAACGAGCGCAAAATATCATATATATATATATGTATGTATAATATGTATATGTATGTATAAACTTAAGGACGAACATGTCGGCTAATGGTACCACTGTGTAATAGCAAAATAGCAAAATAGATTTGACGGATAAACAATTCGCACGTAGATGTGTCTACCCATAAAAATAAACCACTCGTAGTATTTTCATTCGGTCCTCGACAGAAATATAGTCGAACAAAAACGAGGTAAATAAGGCTATATAGCAAACAGATAACCTACTTTCGGATTGAAATTGTGGTGATTCACTTAGGTCATAGTTTTCTTTTCTCTTTATAATCGATTTAAAAGGGCTCAAATCGGATGAAATCGAAAAGCGTCCGTCCCGTATCCAATAATATAGTAAAACGATTTAAACCGTTTACTCGTACACGCTATTATTGTTGAATTCGTGATGATATTAGAGATCCGCAAAGCGATAGTCATAGGCGTGCGCCTCTGCCACGTAATTTTCCGCTCCCCTACCCCTTTTAAGTAATAGTCCGATATAGTCAAAGATATATATTATTTTTGTTAAATTGTCATTGAAAATTAACTTTCTTATTAATTATCGATTATTCTTTAATAACCATGTATATTTCTATAAATAGAGCATGTTTCGTGATTTCTATTACATAATACTTATAATAATAATTTATGTATCTTGCACTTGCATGATTTGGTGTGAGAATTAATTTTCATAGATTAAATAAATATCGACATTTTTTTCTTTAGAGTTTGTTTTTCTTTAACCTGTTGAAACAGTCCATTTTATAATTTACATCGAAACTCCGTTTATAATTGCGATTCGTTTGATAAGTTAAACAATTTGTAGGTATCATCTTAATGATTTTCTGTAACTATCATATCGTAATAAAATATTGTACGCCTCTTTACGAAAAAAATAAGAAATAAATACATATTTTTCATTTTTAACGTAACGTTGTTTAATATTAATAGTATCGGTTACACCATATTTTCATTTAAATTATTTTCGTTCAAAGTGTTTAACAAACTGCTACTTAAATTCTGATAGTATTTTAAATAAATAGATTGCAATAGATTTTGAAAAAAAAAAAGGACGTCACAAGAGTCTTTATTGCATTTTTAAAGACGTTTTCATTGATTCCACATCACAGACAACAGGGAACATGAAAATTACAAATATGTTAATCTTTCAGTTTTATGTACAGCCAAGTACATCTAAATGGTTTTTTTAAATATTATTTGACTGTAAAATTATTGTAAGGCGGTTTACATGAAGCACCGTTCTATAGAATTGCATCAGACTCGGAGGGAATATGATGGAGTTAAGAGCCTGTGCCGCACAGACGGGCACGGCAAAATTTAAAAAACGGTTCCGTTTTCACGCCATTTCGGCCAAAGGATCCGGCAAATAAAATCAAGCGATTCGAAAATGAACAAAAAAACAGTCGGTTAAAAATGCGGTAAACGAATAAACATTTTCGTATCAGCGTTGCGACTTACCGGAACGGAATAGTTATACAAGCCGGAATATTATCGTTACAGGAACGTATTTACATTAATGTTCGTTTAACGTTTTGAAAACTAAAGCCGGGAAAAAAAAACCCCCGTAACGGGTCAGAGTCGTCCAAATAGGATTACCGATTTCCGCGATATCGGAATATATTACGATTGATCAGATTAAACGGGAGCCAAAAATACCTATTTTATATGTATATATTTTTTTCCCCGAAAAATAATAATGTCTAAACGCGTACGTGTCGTCGAATCTTATAGGCACTCACGTTTTTTGTGCATCAAGTAGTGTACAGTGGCTCCGGGCATGGTGTAATCGTAACCGTACCGATCGGGTTCGTTGAAAACGTGAGTGTGGTAAGATTCGGAACCCTGGCCCGGTTGTCTTCCTCCGCTCTGCGGATATCCGCCGGACTGCCCGAAGTTATTGCCGCCGAATCCCCGTTGGTTTCCGCCGTTGTACCCGTTCGATTGGCCTCTGCCGCCGTTGTACCCTTGCTGCTGCTGTTGCATTCCGACACGGGGATTGGACCATTGGTTGTTATTATTGCCGCCGGCGTACGGATACGTCAGAACGCTGGCCAACAAAGCCAATAAAACCTGTGATAAATCCCGAGAAAAGAAAAAAAATTCGATTAATTTCACGATAATATTATAGCGATAGTTATATTTTGCAAGTGTCCGAAAATAATATTTGCAAAAACTACAAATTGCTCGTCCCTGCACCAATCATCGCAAACGTCACAAAAGTCGTTTCTCGACATTCGAGATTTCGAATGCACTTTATCGATGACCTTTTTCGTGAGAAAAATGAATGTTTTTAATGTAAAAAATCCGGAAATATTTCGAACCGTGAGTAGGTCACTGATGTAGATAGGAAGTTAAACCAGAAATCAACAAAAATATTATGACTACGGGTTTCGATTCTAACACCGGTTCTTCGGGTTACATTTCTAGCCCTTGGGTTATAGTAAACTAACAGTAGTATTTTTCCATTCGTAGTTAAGTAATTATGTTACTTAGCTAGCGATGTTACCTTACAGAAAAAGGCAATAAAAAAGGAAAAAGTGTTTGTCGTCATTTTGTTTTGTTGATTTTAAAAAAGAAACTCCAGAAACACTTTTTATCAATACAACTACCGAAGGGCATTGTTATATTTATTAACTTTTGTATAGAATAATTTTATAATATATACTATATGACATTGTTTTGACGGTAAATATTCAAAAAAAATAATAGTAAAGTAAAAAAAAAAAATGTCTATTTACAAAAATCCCCAAAGGTTATATGACTTCAGGAAATCGTCCGGATAACTCTTTAGGTATGCTAATACAAGTTAGGTACCGTTACCTATCATAAATTAGAACGTTATTTTATAACCAGTAAAGAAATTTTCAAGTCTGCAATGTATATTATTTTAATAAGAAATGACAATAATTTATTCATCAGCGTCATTTACATTGAATACCTTTGGATATAACGATTTTGAGCGTTGTGATTGTATGTGTAATCAAACTGCAGTATTATTACCGCAAACAATTGCGCAGCCGGTTATTTTTGTTTCAACATTTTGTTTTAATATTTTCCTGAACAATTAGAAATCCTGTACACGTGCCTACAAATGTTTTTTTTTTTAGATACAGAGAAATATCTTATCTACAAAAAACACATCCTGCCGTCATTACCAACCCTCCCCTTTCCTCTATCACCTTCCGACGCGATGTAAATTGCGAGTTTATTTGAATTGAAACATTTTGAAATATTATTAATTTAATCCGTGGTGTAACTGACACGACGTTCGTTCGTTTGAAGTGTCCTTTTCGATGTTTATACGGTTTAGCAAACCGTACATTATTATAATATACGAGCAATGAACATATTTTATATTTTAATTAGCTTTAGATCCAAGGCTGGGCTTAAACGAGTTAAAAAAAATTAAGAGGAACCCAACCGATGGCGGATTTTAAAGCACATGTATTTCAAAGGTACCGATTAGTAGTTGTTTTTTTTTTAGACGACATTTTCTTGAATATATATCGGCAGTGTCTAGAGGGGAAGGGGGAGTGATCTAGTCCTCCTAGATGTTCTCATAAATAAGGCACTTCTCCTAATCGTAAATTCACTTGCACTGTTATTCATTAACTCGCCTTAACCCTAGTGTATAGGCACAGTTTCTCCAGAAAAGGGTTACACATGACGTCTCGTACGTTATGAATATTTAGTATATATATTCATCTCTATATTTCAATAGCATTTCGCGAGTCATACACCTGTATACGAGTTCCTTACACAATTTTAATTGGAACTTTTCGCTATAGTACTTTCCTTCGTTGTACATATAATACAATAAAATATTATAATGATCGAAAACGCACACGTATACTGCGGCTCGCTGTTGAATCGCATCATGATCAATAAAATACACAATAATATTATAGATACGTACAAGTATGTGTACGTTTATTTTATAAATGTACGTATATATTGTACAGGTACGTTCACGGGACGAAAACAACTTTTAACGAACTTTTAATGTCTGAAAAGAGATTTCCATTGTGAGAAAATCAAAATGATATATTGTAATACATTGTATACAATATTATTAATAATGAAAATAATTGGAAAACGAGGGTCTCTTTATTCCGTATTTACCCAATGCTCGAATTGGGAAAAATTATGTAGAGGAACTCAATTTAATGATTTAAAAACGGCGTGTCAAATGCACAATCACTTAATACAGACAATGGGGAGGACTTTGGATCACACCCCTCCTCTCTCTTCCCACCTTACCAGAAATTCGTATACCACATTTCAGCTACAAATATTAAAATTCCAAATATATTTTGATTGCAATACCTACATCCTATATGTTGCAGTAGAAAATAAAAATTATATGAATATTCTACCCTGATGATAATATTTTATCATTTTTAAATAATTTTGAAATTAAAAATAGTAAAATTCGTTATTTAGTTGACAAAAATTAAAATCCACATTTTAATAAAAATGATTTCAGATATTAGTTTGTGCCGTTTTTCTGTTCTACAAAAAAACATATAGTTTGGGTACGCAAAAAAATAAAAGAATAGTTGAGGAGTTCCGTTCCCTTGCGCACTCCCACAATTCGAGCAATGTATCCTAAAAATTTCATAAATAGACGGATAATTACTTTGAATACATTTTGTTGTCAACATTTGTAATTTCTGTCAACCCGTCAACGAGATAATTCACTTTTAAGTTTAGGTAGGGGGAGAGTAGCGGAGTATCATTTGTGTGCCGGCGAGGCGTGCGGCGTCTTATTAGTGCACCACTTCTCTCCCCTACCTAAACATTGTGAAAAGTCTAAGTATTCGAAAATGTCTGCTTAAACTGCACATAAAAAGTTCAGAAATCGGAATTTGAATATTTGCAAAATTTAACCAAAATAATGGATTAAGCACGCTTAGTGAATCACTCTGTATACACATATAATTATATACTCTTTCGGAATAAATGTGTAATACGACGTGTAATATTTTCCGTATAATCAATTTGTATATCATTATCATAATTGTATAACAATTTTATTCAAATTTTGTGCGAATGTATTCGATTGAAGATAATAAAGTCTGTACAGAATTCGTTTTGAGTATAGTTACTTCGAACGGAATGGCATATGTATATATATATATATATATATAAGTACCAGCAGTATAATATCGTGTAAGGGTCTTTGGTCATCGGCAATAAAAAAATAAAATAAATATAAATATAATATAATAAAAATGAATATATAATACATATATATATATTTTTTTTTTTTTATTTTTCTTATATATTTTATATTTTTAATACGGTATGGTTTTTATCATGACGTAATCTTTAAAGGTTTTAATTTATTAATTCGCGTCTAATATCTTAAGATGATGTGCCGGGCAAAATACACATTTTTATTAATGGACATTGCTTAGTTATAAGGTCGACCTTTTTTTTTAATGTTGATAAATTGTATCATTAACGAAGTAACGTATTTGAAAGACCGTCTACTCGTATTGTACCCACGGTCGAGACTAATGTAGAATTACTAAGCGACTAAAACCGTTTTATTACTACTAATTGTTTATTTGTTTGAAAATAATTTGAAATCAATACACGAATTGAAATACTTAAACTCTGACATCCACTGCAAAAAGAAAATTCCTTAAAGTCAGTACCTAAAAAACGTTGTAATAAAAAAAAAAAAAATGAATAAATAAATAATTAGTAATTTTCAAAAAATTGTAATCGTTTTTGTTTTAAATAAAAATATGCAGCGGCCAATATCAATTTTAAAATATTTAGTTTAAGTTAAGGAATAATAAGAGTGAATTGAACTTTTTGCTAATATAATAGTTTATGAATGACCGTACGTTAGCTACGCAGTCACGCAGACTATTTGCACAACCAAACGTACAGAAATTATCTTTTTAAATAAAAAATATCGATGACGACAGCAAAATAGAATTGCTGCACCACTTGCTACACACTGCACTATACTACTGCTGCAGTTTTACGGTTATAAATAGTAAAAAATATTGATAATGCCATTGGAATAAGTTAGAATAGTAATAGATATTTTTCTATAATATAGAGTAATTTAATTTATATCTATACGTAACGATAAATCATGGCCAATAAAAAAACCATTTTGAGCGAAGTTCGGTTAAAGATATTTTGAAAAGCTGTGATTTGTACAATTTGCATTAAAATTTGAGATTTTAACGCTTATAAAAATAAAATTGCTACATACGCTCGACTTTTTGTTTTCAATACTGAGTACAAATTATGATGTACTACTATTTGTTAAGTTTCGGTCGTTTTTTCTTTACCAAAACAATTTTATCCACATTAAATCTGTAAATAAACACAACAAAATCTCGAACGTTTAAAATAGCTCTAAAAAGCTTAAAAGACCAGACTATTTTTAAAACTAGAAAATTCTAATACAAGTTTTCGGTGAGGAAAATATTGGAGCTTTTCGGTTGTTTTTAACTGGTATCCAGTTATCGGTACATTTTCCGGGTTCTCTTACGGTTTTTCTGGTTTTTCCCATTTATTAAAGAAACTACAAACGAAACCCGAAAAAATAACCTTCCTATATGGTACCAACTAGATGACATTTATTTTTAGAAAATGTGCTAAAGTAATTATCTGAAGAAGATTTCTCGTGAAAAAAATTCGTTTGCAGACAACGTATAATAAATCAATCATTAGTAAAATTAATTTATTATCATAAAAATTAATTTTACTCACCAAACTGTATACTGCGGGAGTGTTCATTTTTGGTAATTTTTCTTCGGTATGATCGAACTAACACTGAGAATCGACTACGACGACGGTAAATCGTTAATCGAATGCAATTTCGAACTTAAAGTCATGCCGAAGACGACGGGTCTTATATACTCGTAGGTCGGCAAGACGTTCTTTTGGAAAATCCCCGGCCTTGGACGATCGACCCCGTCGTGCACGTCGAGTGCCGTGTTATTGTCCGGCAGACGCACAATACAATAATATTCTATTATCATTATTAATACTACGCAATATAATGATAATATTATTGTTATTTGTCGGGCTGCACCACACACGAGACCTGCAATTGTCAAAAACACCACCTTCACCTTGGTCCGCCGTCAATCCGCCGTCGTCGTGACTCGTGATGTCGGACGTTGCGACGTTTATGCCTTTTGTGACATCGACAAAACGAATACTTTAAAACAAACCCACCATCGCCGTATCCCCTTTTGTTTTGTCTCGGTGGAGGAAGTCACGGAGTACCTATGCCTAGTGTGAGTTGCTCGAACGCAATCGAACGACGTTTCATACCACAAGGCCGCGACTTTGAGGCGAACGATCAGATTTCCGAACAATTATTTTTCCAGCGCAACCAAGTGTTTAAAACGTATCCGTGAAAAAGTTTCACCGAAATATCGAGATTTTTGTTTTCGGGTAAAATTATTATTTTCCAGAGTTGAATACAACTCTATACGAGTTTTCGCCAATAATACTATTTACCTCCGTTGTTTCCGATCCTGAACAATATTTCTTCTGTAACGCTTTGTTGTTAAGCTTTCCAAATTCTTTTCAACTACGTCCGATTATTTCTTCTTTCTCAGTTTCCAATTCATAACCGATCTCGTTTCAATAATCACGTTTCAATCATTTTTGCTTATTACTTGTCGAGCATTTATAACCTTTGACAATTGATAGAGCTGTTGACTGAAGCCGTTTCTGATTTGCCTCCTGTAATCCCTGGTTGAATTTATTTCTCGGTCTTTTTGAATTTTTGTCTGGCTACATATCATCCCGAAAAATAATTGTTCAACAGTTCTGAATTTAAGTTTTAAATAAATATAGTAAATAAATAAAATAAATGCGTCGCCTGGAATATTATGATAAATATAATATACTTATCATAATACTCCAGGCGATGCGCAACGCATTGATTGATTCATTTATTTTATTTTTATATATACATTTTTTATTTATATATTTATTTACTATATGTATTTACTTTATTTATTTACGAGTATTGACCATTTTAGTTATTTTGTTTTTACTTTGTTATTTCATTAGGTAAGTATTTTATTAAAATACACTTTATCATATTCCCTGTAAATTCAACTTAGTTTATTCCATTTAAATTTTATGAGGCATTTATAAGGAGTTTGAGAAATGTCCCTAGATAAATATCGTTCTTGAGTTGTATACTAGCCTGATACAATGATGATGAAATCTATGAATAATAATAGTAGAAACTGTAATGTTTTTGCGCCACACACAAAAAAAAACTTTGACAATTTTGAAATTAATTTTGACTATCGCCGAACAAATCAAACTGGGTTGGATTAATTGTTTAACTAAGTCTTTAAACAAATATTGAATTCCAATAATATATAACTATTATACATGTGCACATTGATATATCAAAGCATACGTAATTCATTTATATTATAATAAGAATTCTATTCTACATAAACGCCATTTTATATTTCAATGTATAATGTTTCAATTTTTCATTTAATATTTTTACTGATGTTGGACAAGTTACATATTGTAGTACCCGAGTTTAGTTACCGTTACTTACCTGGATTTAATAACTTGGAACAAATTACAAGTAACTATAAGAAAAAAAAATCTCGTAAGGTACTAATATACTTGTAAAAAATTAACTAAATTAAGATAATTCATCAATTACTCAAAAGAAAACAATATAACTCTTAGAAATTACATGTTTCCGTGTAATTATTACATAGATAATAATAATAATATGCACTGTAACCGTCCGAATGCGTATAGAAATTTATTATAAAATCGTCTCAATATCGAATAGGGTCAAATAGACGTGGCAGTTTGGACGTGATTATTTGGACGTTGGGAAAGTTAAAAAAAGTTAAAAATATTATAATTAAAAGTTATACGCATAATATTAGTATTTTGAGCGAAAAATAAAAATGTTATGTCGATTCGCACATAAAAATGTAATTTTAGTTCTAGTTTATTTATAAAATTACTAAATCAATAATATGCACTTACATCATAAAACTAATCTAACCGTAGGTACCATATCGTTATGAATTACGTATTATAGACAGTACCTTTTATTTTTTTACAAACGTGTATACTTCATTTTTTAATTATAATATTTTTCTTTTTAAATTATTTTTTGTCATTCGTAAATTATAAAAAAAAAAATGTTCATTCGCAGGGGCGCAATTTCATTTATTAAATTGAGGGTGCTAAGGTCCCCTAGGAAAGAAAACCTAGTTCATACAATCAAGAAATCTATAAAATATAATAGATGCTACTCATTCTCTTCTATTGTCTAACTGTTGGTTAAAGAAATAAATTAAAATATGTAGAACTCTAGAACTATGTATGCTCAGTCGTTAGTTCATAGAAAATTCAAAATGATTTCTGAAGTAAGTACCGTAGGTAGAATCTTTGTTATTTTGTGACAAATACTTAATTTACTTATCTACGTAATAATACTTAGTGACATTTGAAGTTCATTGTATTTATTTATAGAATGCCCTTACTTCAAAGTTTCTTTGTAATATATGTTTATTATTATTTATATGCAATATTATATTTTAATATAACTTATATTGTATGATTAATTACAGAGAAAAGAGACAGTTTGATGATATATGGTCCGAATTTATATTCTCTTAAAACATCAAAAATATGATGCTAATATTCTCTTGAAAATTATAAAGCATGTAAAGAGTCGCGTTGTATTCACAAATTACTCATAATTTAACTTTGCCGGCTTTTTACGTAATGTTTAAATGGTAGGTTTTCGGTGAATAAAATGATTATACTCAACAGAAATGTTTGAACATTTTACATATTAATGTACATTATAAGTTTTTGTTTGTTTTAATTTTTAAAAACAAATTTGAGTTTAATGCGTTAGTTTTTTTTTTCAACCGCGTTTTAAAATCAGATTTTAACGAAAATCGTAATAATTACGACATTTCAAAATATGTCACCGAACATCGCACCGAATCGTTCTTTGTTAGCAATGGTTGATCATTGCGTATGGTAGATTTATGAATACTTCTTTGGTATATAAACTGTGGCTAACAACAATCTTTAAAAGATTACAAAACATTGAAAAACTGTTTCATAAATAAACAAATTATATCATTCCCATTATTGCCTTAGATATTTTGTAATATATACTAGCTGAATTACCCGGCTCGCCCGTGTGTAGTTTTTGTTGGTTTGTTTGTTTTACATTTTTTTTTTCATCCGTATTACCAAGGTAACACATAAATAAACCAGAATAAATAAACAATTTGATATTCAAACTAAAAATACCTAAATTCCCTTTTTACCCCCTTAAACGTAGAATTTAAAAAAAATGGCCAATGAAATAATACTCAGAAAAGTATTTGGAACAGCTCAACGAAAAAAAAAATTGAGAAAAAGATAAAATTTAATATTATATTAAATCCAAATTACACGGATGTAATGATTTTGATAAAAATAGTTATTCTAATAAATTTGGTAAAAAAAAAACAAAATTCAAAAAACTTTGTGAAACACAATGGGTCGATCGATATGATTCATTTATAACTTTTAGAAAACTATACATTTATATAATTACTACTCTATAATATCTTAAAAAATATGTTGGTACAAATTCTGAACTCCCATCCAAAGCGTCGTTATATGTGAGTGCTATAACCAAGAGTGATTTCCTTGTCTCTTTTGAATTAGCTATTACTTGCTTCTCATATACTAAACAATTAAGTCAAGTACTACAAAGCAAACAACAAGACTTATCTAGAATAATTGCTATCATTAAAATTTGGAGCGAAATTGCTGGTAGAAAAGTTGTCCACAGAAAAAAATTTAACAACTTTGAAAAACCATAAGTTTCTTAGCTTTACTCAGAATCTAAAATGTTATCACAATAGCTTCTAAACTAGACGTTGAAATACGCATGCCTTGGGAGACTGTGGGAGACAATCTGCCTGACGCCAAAGACGCAGAGGAGTATTATCAAATAGCACTCTCCCCCTCCCCATTGAGAAATACTGGCTACGCCACTGCAAGCCCTCCCCCTCTAATAACGCCTATGTAATTACTCGTTAACATCAGACGTTAGGATTAAAACCTAAGCACATAGTACCCATTATATACCGGCAAATATTATAACTTGATTATACTAGATTAAATAAATACGTTAATCTAATCGAAATGATTTTGATAAATCTTATCATTATCTATTATTAGTTCGTTATTAGACCGGTAGGAGTCTTTAAAGAGATAAATCGAAGAGAAGAGCTGTTTAATAATAACCGTAATTCCTGTGGAGAGGTGATGGTTTTGCTCGCGGTCGCTTTCGTATAGCCCGACTTTTATGTTAAAACATAATATTTTTTTTTATAGATCATTTAATAACGATCAGGCCATATTGTTCACTTTTAGAACCTCAAAAATTCTGTAAAATGCAAACGGAAATATCGAGCCGGCGACGTATTTTGTGCTATTGGTAAGTAGGTATACACTCAACAATAAATCATTAAAAAACAATAAAAAAAAACACTTTTATGGGTCATTAAACTTTTCAAATAAAGTATGCCGGGCAGAAAATTCGCATTTTTTTTATAATACAATATTACCAATCGTCATATGATACTAAATTAAAAAAAGACGTCTTAGGATTATGAGGACGGGTGCAGTCACTGTTATAGATAATTTAATGTATACCTGTAAGCATTGATAATCCATTGCTTACGAAAAAGCGATTTTGAGCGGAGTTCAGTTGATAGTGATGCTTTTTAACAATATATATTTTATAGTAAAATAATTAAATAGGCTTATATTTTTTTTTTAATAATATTTGTTTAATGTTGTACCGATTTTTCCATTTTTTCGGATTTTTCCATTTTTAAAAAAACTTCTGAGAAAATCGAAAAATGACTTCTCTAAAGTACCTCTCGATACCGATTTACTTTCAGAAAAGTTGCTACACGTACAAATTGGAACAAGTCCTCTGGTAGAAAACTTGTTAACAGATAAAAAAAAAATAAACATCTTTGTAAAATCATAAGCTTCTTTGTTCCACTCAGAATCTAAAATGTGAGAGACGTACGAGTATTTCGGGTATTTACTTAATTTAAGATCAGAAATTAACAAACAACTATAAAATGTTACATTTTGTTATCTCATCGACGGGTTAACGGAATTTAAAAATGTATTTAAACTGATATTTCATTTGTATACTAATTTTGGGATTTTTAATGTTGGTTGCTATCAAACCAAATTTAGATAGGTAGTGGCGGTTTTACCTACCGCAAATAAGGGTTGCAAAGAACGACGCTAACATAACATTTTAAAACTACTTGTTACTTGTTAATATATCTGAAAAACTTTTTATAAATGTTATTAGGCCTGATGATATTTATTTAGGAATTTTTTAGTCTATATATACACACACGGCAGTATTATATAGACAAGCGATTTGCAGTAAAAATTGGCAGTCTGTCATTAGGTCGCGTATAGCGCGGACAACAGATTCAAGCGACGTCGAGTTTTTTTAATTCCGTTTAATTTGCGCGAGTATTATGTTCCTAACCATCGCGTGTTAAAATTCGAAACTTTATTACCCGGTATTGTACTAGTGTGCCAACAGTATTTATTGTTGTTTATTACGCGATTTTAATTTGTATGTTTTTCCAACGGTTAGAAATTAATCGGGATATAATTTTACTAGGGGTTTTTTTCGCATTTATTTTACGCTCGTGAACAAATATTTCCAACGTGAAATTCACCACATATACCGATATTTACCGGGCAAATTTCGCCCGAGCTCTGGTCGCGCGAATCGAAAAACCCGACATTTTCGGGAAAGTTCGACGAAAATCGCCCGCACGGTAATACCGTGCGGCTGGCAAGTCTGCCAGACGCGCGGCGTCCCGCGCTGACTCAACGGCCGGCACTATACGCGCTTTCAGTGTACCCGGAAAAGCGTACGCGGCGTGCGGTCCCTCCCGTGAAAATCGCCGTGTCGGTCCGTCGCGTCTCGCGCCGAGAACGTCGATTTTCGATCGTAATAACAACAGTAAAATAATATCCGAGTTTCCGAGTTCGGCCGTGCCCCGCAGAGAGAAATATCGACAGATTAATCATCTGAATTATAATCGTTTTTATTTTATTATTTTTTTTCGTCTCGATAACGTATATAATTATTGTTGTAATTCATATCGCCGTGTCGTACTTCGGACCGTACATTATATTATCGTAAAGAGACTAGAGGTTGTGTCGTTTAAAAAATCGAAAATAAAAAAAAAAAAACAACATTAAAAACTATTAAAAAATCGTACATAACATACCTGTATAGTAAGTACCTATGTTATTATAAGATAATAGAAAATATTATAATCGTTTTTTTTTTTTTTTTTTTTTTTTTTTTTTTAATATCTATATTTTATTTTTTTGCTTCTCTCGAACGGTATTTGTCTAAACGGCCGTCGGCANCCGCAGAGAGAAATATCGACAGATTAATCATCTGAATTATAATCGTTTTTATTTTTTTATTTTTTTTTTAATATCTATATTTTATTTTTTTGCTTCTCTCGAACGGTATTTGTCTAAACGGCCGTCGGCAATATTATTGTCGTTCCAATTTCTCAAACATTTTTTAAAAAAATAAAAACAATAACACCCGTATAGTTATTTCCAAACTGCAGTTCGGCTCGCTTTTGTACATACGTTTCGATTTGTGTTAAATCTGTAAAATTCTGTAAAACCGTTTTCGGTTATCGTGCTACAATATATACCTATACTCGCAATTTCAAACCGTACGTTTCTTCGTTCCGCATACACCCGATTCGAGAACCGCAGTGGTCGCCGACGTTCCGAAACGCGTACAAGCCGACTTTTTTCAGCGCATCATTACGGTTTGTTTATCGAAACGCCTATATCGTTGTAATAGTGTAACTCCGCCTATTATATTATCCGTTCGAATTAACACGGTGAAAATGCATACTCTCGCCCTCGTTATTTAATATCAGCCAAACGAAACGGCCGGACAACGTGCTCGTGAACATCGCCTTTATTACGTGCAATTCGTTTCGGTACCCACGCCGAAAGTTTTAAACCGCGGTAACGATATTCACCCGTACGTCGTATATTACATACCTGCAACGGACTTTCGGAATATTTTTACTCGTACACAAATTCAACCAATTCGATTATTCGTACCGAAGTCATGAGCTTTTATGTTTTATTCGAATTCGATTTTATCCGAACTCATCGCCGCCCGTACAGAAAAAAAAAAAAAAAAAAACTAAAATGCGTATTTTTTTTTTNAAAAAAAAAAAAAAAAAAACTAAAATGGGTTTTTTTTTTTTTTTTTTTGGTAACAAACAAGTATTATAGGTACTACGAGTATATGTATAATATTTATTTTGTATACGATATCGTTGTTGATCCGGTCATATTTTAATGATTAACAACACGTCGAAACGCGTTATTTGCTTATCAATATTTTAATATTGTAAAATACACAATGCTAATAATAATATCAATTCAGATTAGGTTTGATTAGACAAAAATGCACTCATTAAATACACAGCGCATATCAGCGTATATTGGTGAGGGGGGGGGAAAGATGATGTCGGAGTATTATTGTAAAATATTCTAATTAAGCTCGCATTCTTGAGATATCCCGTCCGTACTTTTGCTATTAAACTACACGACTGGGCGAGGAATATTATTTTGCATTATATCTAGTCGGTCAGGTATTATAATATACAATAACGTTCGCAGTACGCGGACATTCTGTTGGCGGCGCATACACGGTTTTAACGATTTTAATAATATGTTTTCATAAAAAATATCTCAAACCGGTAAAATAATTTACAATACTATCGTACCTAGTCCGGGAGCCCGTTTTCAGATTTCGTTTCTCGGATTTCGTAAAATTCAAACATTCATTTTTTTTCCTCGTTTTACGATCGCCTTGACGATACGACTTTTCCGCTAATCTGCTGATGAAACCGCGTTCAAGGGCGAAGTGCGCGGCAGGTTTTATCTCGTTTGGACCGATAAACTGTAGTCGGATTCGGCTATTTAAATTTATTAATTTCTTGTGTGTACGTTTTTTGGGAAATATTTGCTCATTTACCTGTTTTTCATAAAATAAATTCGTAATAAAATTACTTACACATTAAAAAAAAAAAAAAACGAGCTGTTACTGCTGATGGGTGCGCCACCGATGTAAATAGGAAGTTGGGAAGTTGGTCTACATTAAGTTATTTTATTTATTTATATGCAACTAATGATAAACCTTAGCTTAAAAAAAACTATTCTGAGCGAAACTCGGTTATTCATGTTTTAAATGCCGTAATTTTTAAAATTTTCGTTAAAATTTATCTCGGAACTCTTAAATATTATAAAAATAAAAATAATTAATCTTGACCTCTACTTTTTTTTCTAATTTTTTTAATGGTTTTAATTTTTTTTTTTTTTTGATACCTAACTTAATACAACTTGTAATAAAGCTGTTAAATTGTCAAGCATTTTTATTTGGTCAATTAATTATATCTGCATTATAGTACCTACCAAATAAAAACTACCTAGGGACGTAAAAACTTGTAAATACACAATGTCTAAAAATAATTCAAAAATTGTATTAAATTTTACTTAGAAAATGTAAATATACATTTTATTTCAAAATGTGCACGAATATTTTCGGGCGCGATCTGTTTCGCCTAAACTTGATCTGTTACCGTTTCACCCAAATACACCTCAGACGAAGCCAAATCATTTTTCAAAACAGTTACTCGACTACTGGAAGTGTAAAATGTATAAAAAAAAAAAAAAGAAAAAAACGAATAGTGGCCGAATTCGGGTTTCAACATTTTCCGGTGGCGGGTGTGTGAGTGGCGCCAGCAGTGAGAAGTATGCATAGTTTGTGTAGTATTCGTAAATGATAACTATAAAAACACTGCTATGAAATACGTAACATAATTTATGTACTATATGCTGTATAATAGAATAATCGGGCTTGTTTGACCGAGTATTTTTAAACTACTACTTTTTTACTGCTTACCGCACCTTAAAGACGAATAAATCAAATTTAGTTACTTCGTATACTGATATATTTATATATAGTTGGGCACCTATCTACATATTTTACTTTGATAAATATAAAGCGAAACTATTTTCCGGGGACGGCGTTCGATATTTTAATACACTCGTTTGATAATGTACTATTACCGTAGGGCGGGTATCCCAACAGTTTTCTAAATTCTATTGTTTACGTCTTTTGATTTATTTTGTACGACGACTGTTATTCGGTTATACGGCTGATATAATATAAAATATATTACATTCTTTTCTTTAATGGTACCCTATAAAACGTTGAGCGTTCATACGTATCCCGAAACAAAATATTATTTTTCAAACAATTCATGTAAACATATTATACAATATAATATTTAGAAAAAAAAAAAAAAAAAACCAAAAATAACGCTTTTATAAGCAAATAAAATTAAATGAGTAATAAACAATAATTATCGTCGTGAAAAAAGTACGAGTTTTTACAGATATCTAACCGTAATAGTAATCGCATAATATACAGACGATTCTTTTATAATCGATATCAAACCCGGAACATTGTTAGGTATTGCCATTTCTAACATTTCGGGTAATTGGGCATACCTGAGTGAAAATTACATCTATTTACCCAGTCGTAATAATATTAAATGTATACATTTCGCCAGGTATAATATCGCGAGTGTTGTAATTTTACAATACATTACGATTAGTGAAGTAACATTCGGTTTCGAGTGTTCAACCGATATTCGCGTTGTCTGTAGTAACGATTGCTGAGTATGATTAATATCGTTTTAACATACAATTTTAAAATAACGAACTCGTGCCCCTTACAGCGGTCAATAAACAAGTCCCGGACTGCATGTTTGTTATTATCGTTAAAAATTGAAATATAACGTTGACTGATAGCGACAAATACGTTTTTAATTTATCAAACCCCGTGTGTAATTTTGCACGGAACGTGTATGTACGTAAAGCCGGTTCCACTTGACTCGTGTACACCGACGATGTTCTGAAATTTAAAGCGACACTTGATAAATTATTTTAATTCCCCTTAAATGTGTTTGTTTGTTTTTTTTTTTTTTTTACAGTTTTGTTAAATTCAAATGATAATTCATAACGCGATACCGAGTAACGTATTTTTTGCATAATGAAATAATAAAGTAAAACCAAAATTATTAAAATGGTTAATGCTCGTAAATAAGTATGTTAAATAAATATATAAATAAAAACATGTATGTATAAAAATAAACAATGAATAAATTAATAAATGTATCGCGATGGATTTTTAATTCGAAACCGGTCGTATAATACAATTATCATAATACTCCAGGCGACGAATTTATGTATATTTTTTTTTTATATTATGTCAGTGGCCTATTTAGAATTTTTTCCAGATGGTCGAAGACGAAAATATTATAGTGTACATACCCGTGGAAGGCTTATAAATTAACAGCTCTTTTTTCATAACGTGTTTTTTTTTTTTTTTTCAAACTTATAAAATACTTTCGTGAAAACAATAAAATTCAATTATTATGTTTACATTTCTATTTGTTAAATTGTGAAAAAAAGGGGGGGTTTTTTATAGATAATTTAAAATTTTCAATTAATACATATACATTATGACAGATAGAGTTTAATAACGTGCGTATAGAAAAAATAATCGTGGTTGATCTGTCCTCACGAACCGCCCGCCGAATACGCCACAGTTGTACTAAGATCGTATAATGAATTAATAATAATAATAATACGCACGCAGTGTTTTATTTCTGAAATGTATTGTTATTTTCAAGGGACGGCAATCCGACCACATTAACATTGAAAAGCGATTCTGGGCCGAGCTTAAATTTTAATATCGCGACGGAAAACTAATCATTTCAATGTTCGAAATGAATTAAATACAATAGGTATCGTTAAAATGACCAGAAATGTTAATATTAAATTATAATCGCCGGTTTTGTTACTGCACGCGATTATTGCCAGTATTTTAAATATTAAATTTATTATACTTGGAAGACCCGCTGCCATCACTACCACCGCCACCACCGCCACCATCACCAAAATGAGTATTTTAAGTAATTGTCTGTATTGCAATATTCGAATAGGATTACAAATTCATATTTTTTCGTGTTTTCCTTTTCTTTTTTCAGTAGTAATAATATTATTGAACGTTATCTTAATAGTATACTACTCCGGGCTTAAATATTTTGTTAGCTGTGTTTCTCCTATAATCTTATCGGTGACTTTTGCCATAATATTAGCTGCAGTAGGTATAGGTTATATTATTATGAATCGTATCAACAATAAATATTGTGTATTACAATTACAAACAGAAGAATTAAGAGGATGATAATGTTAGAAGAGGATTAGGTACGTGTACGAGATAACCGAAATAACAATCTATGTATATTATACAGCGCATTCAAGTATATCGTACAAAAAACGTATTGGTACCTACTAAAAGTTAACGAATAATGGTGAATTATAAAATACGAGTAAATTAAGGGATGTCAAAGCAACTCTATTCAATATGTTAACGTATATACGGTTACAATAATATACTTATAGTAAAGGAAGTACTCGGAGTGCAAACAAAACAAAATAAAATAAATTGTATGAGACTTCGAAAAACCAACGTCACTTGCAATGATTAGTTCGATCTCAACGTGATTCTTGGGAGGTGTGGCTTTAACCACACCAGTTGTCAAACAGTGTTCAATAATAAATACAAATTTTAAAAAAATTATAAAACCAATTGGTAAATAGTATTTGCAGGCACAGTGTTTATTTACAAATGTATAAACATTTTTTTAAATTTATATGCATTTTATTTTACATAGAATATTGTTTCTTACTTTCGTAAAAAAAAAATCTAATAATTAGATTTGGGTTAAATTAAAAAAGTACAGAGAGGTAATCGACCTCCCTCCCTTCACTGGCGCACGCCGATAAATCTCTCTATTTTTATTTGAAATTTTAGATTATCTGAATAATTTTTATTCTTATTTTTATCTTTGATATGTAATTAATTAAATGTTTCAATAATACTTCCCGATATCAATGTACTCGTATTACGGTAATTTTTTCTTCGGTTAAAATTATTTAATAATAATTAAATAATAACCGTACACCATTCATTCCACGCAGAACCCATATAAATGATATTACTTAACACTTACAATACATTTAAAATGATTAAAATACAAATAATTTTTATTAAAAAAAAAAAAATAATAAAATATATTAAATAAGACTTTTCCCGTTTTTCCCGAATCTTCTGTATTGTGTTGAAATTTAAGGACATTATTAATATTTCATTCACTTATCAATTAATCAAGCTTAAGAAGTTACTATCATTTAAGTATTGTACGTGTCGAGTTTTTTTTTGTTTTCTTCCCGAGTAAAAGAATCAACAACATTACGTAAAGTTACGAGAATTAATGTTTTTTTTTTTTTTTTTATATATATATACTTATTCAAACCCGAACCCCTGCAATTATGATTTTATTTCAATAATTTCAAGGACTGTACATATAATATTATATTTATATTCACGTTATAAATCTAAACATATCAATACTGTATTTCATCTGCGGCCGGATGCAATATTCAAGACACATCGGTCTATTGAAATTGATTCCAACAATGAAATCATTATTATTGAAAAGCTTAAATTGCGATTGATTTAATACAATAATGAATCCCATAATACATAATATTTGAATATGGGAACATATCCACAAAGAGCCATATTATATTGAAGTTTGCTCAGAATAATATAATTGAAAAGGAAATGAACAAAATATATTGCATTATAGAACCAACGCAGAAGTACAATAATGGTATAAATAAGACTGTTATGTTACTATTTACATATCATTTCACTAATGCTCAATGATCTTGCTGTGTGTAGACTTTCATGATAAGTATATTTGTTTTTTCCCCGAGCGGTATAATATAATTATCAATGATAATTTATTGACAAAACTTTAAACATATTATAGGTATTAATAGGTTTCATTAATTTCGCGAAAAAAAAAAATCAATCATAAAGTCGATTATAGTTTTTTTTTTTGTTATTATTAAGATTGATATTATTTCGATGTTAATAACATTCACGAATTATCAAGGTTTGAACAGTCAATAAATAATCTATTAATTCGAGGTCGAGTTAAATTAATTTCACTGATTAACTCGAGCTCAGTAAATATTTGTTTGTTTTTCGTGAAATAGCTTTTTTCACAGAAAAAACGATTAAACTTAGAATTTGAGATTTTTTGAACGTTTGTTGTAAAACATATTGGGGATTTATTCGGGAATATAAAATTTTACGGAACATTACACACCACACATGTTATTCAGGAAATAAATAAGAAAAAAAACAAATTATTTATTAAATAGAATATATATTGTAAAATCGGATAGGGAGTTGAAATAATAACAATATTGAAATCACTTAATGTGATTAAATATAGGTATAAAAAAATAGTTAATTTTAAAATTAGCTCTTTATTTATATAGTCAATATAAAAAAAATTTGTTAAGTTATTAAAACGAATTTCTTTAACTCGTTAAAATCACCCTTAAAAATTGTATCAATAACAATACAAAGCCATGACACCGACACAAACGAACAGTGAATAGTTAAGTCATGGAATAATGATTATAAAAATACCACATTTTTTTTTTTTTTTTTTTTTTTTTTGACACAATTATTGTTTTAACTTTACTTTTTATCACTAACAGGTAGGTATATCAGACAGCTGCCGAACTGCTAATATAGTTATTGCCGGTCTGCCGTCGTCGTAGAGTCAAGTGTTTCAAAAAGATTACAGAATGTGCACGTGTCTGTGCGTGTGAACATTGAGGTTTTTTGTACGGACGATCGTATTGTGTTCTCTCGAAGCAGTTTTCGACGTTGTCGCGTGCGCTCGTCACCGTATTCGCGGTCCTGGAAATCCATACTGAATTTCTTGCGTTTTTGGGTAAAAAAAAAGAACAGAAAAGCTGAAAGCCGAACACCATTTCAGTGCGCAGATTTTTTTCGAGTGAGTATATTAAACACTTTTGGTCACTTTCCGATTTTCTCCGTACGACCCCGGTAGTGCGCGCTTCCTAGGAGCTACACGCAACACGATGACGGGACGGCAACGCCGCAAGGCCCGCGACCAATAGCGGGCCGCAAACGCTTTCACCACCTGATGTTGCCACGTTTCGACGGACGCCGCCTAGTGCAATGGCCACCGCCGCCACTATTATCGCAACCGCAAATGCGGTTGCGGTCAATCCGACGACGGATTACAACGTTACTACCACCACCGCCGTGACCGCGGTGACTGCGGTTGCGGTCAACCTGACGACAGTGTATAACGTAACTACTACAGCGTTCGTGGTCAACTTGACGACGGCTTACAATGTGACCACTGGCTTCAACGTGACACTGTCAGATGACTTGTACAACGTGCCGGCCTTGCTGGTGATCGTCTTATCCGTGCTCTACGGGTCCATATCGGTGATCGCCGTGGCCGGAAACGGATTGGTCATATGGGCCATCGTGACTAGCAAACGGATGCGGTCGGTCACCAACCACTATCTAGCAAACTTGGCGTTCGCCGATATCCTCATCGCCCTCTTCGCCATACCCTTCGAAGTAAGTGATATCTGTTATGCTTTCAACCAACTAATTACTCCTGTAATATAAGATTTGTGTTTTATGATTTTTTTTACAATCCAGCGAATATCTATGAAGATTTGAGTAAAATTGATTTAAATTTTTTTTCTTGTCAGATATTCATCTTATTTACAATCTATTCAAAGTTATTATATCTATATTATTTTTTGAAACAAGATTTTAATAGACAATAGTTTTCTAAAAATGTTGATATGCATAACTATTTGAGTCAGTGGCGTAGCCAAGGACGGGATTTAGGTGTATTAACCCACTGTCCCCTTTACTTTATTTTTAACTATAGTTTAAAAAGGTTATAAGTGTCTAAACCCCTCTTTTGATTAATGCATTGGCTACACCAACGGTTTGAGTTATAAGCTATGAGTTTATAATAGTTTAAAATTTAGATAGGTGCTATAAGGTATAATATGATAGCTTTAAAAAATAAATTTTAATAATAATATAGCTTTTCTATATTCCTCCGGTCTAAATCTTAAACTGTAAAAAGTAAATCCGATAGTTAATGTTTTGTTTATCGTCAGAATAATTATGTTAAATTACACAATTGATGTTCGTTTAAGCATTTAAAGTATGACACAAACTTTGAAATAGCTTTTATAAAGAAAATAATTTAAAAAAAATCATAAATCAAATTTACTCGAATCATTTGAGAAAATCGCTGGATCGTGATAAAAAAATCACTGTACATCATATTGACACTCTCCGGTTAACTGTTTTCAAACACGACTTTTAAGTACGGAACTATGCCCGGGTATCTTATGAGAATCTATCAGTACTTGATAAGAGGGTACAAAGACAAAGAGGGCGTGCAGTGGGTTTTAAACGGGTTCGGTAAAACTATCAAAGAAAAAAAAATGTCCATATTATTGAAAACAATGTCGAGCGAAAATAATTTCCTATGAAAAATATGGCATTGTTCCAGAATCTACAAAGAAACAATATTCAAAACCGATATTATAAAAAGAACACACGAGTACCAGAGCTCCATCACTACGTTAATTATCTCCCGGCTGACTTGTAGTCGTAACAATATTTAATATAGTTTATATTTTTATAAATGACAAGTAATTTAATAAAACAAGTTTTATCAAATTAGGTAAAATAGTTCTCGATATTTTTACTAACACATAATCAGGTGGTAGGTTCGGAAATTGGAAGTTCAAACTTTCTAAAGACACATTCTTGACAATAATTCTATTTGGACGGGTATACACATTTTAATCAAGGTAATAAATTTAATGAGACTATTTAAACCCCGTTGTTTCCAGTGAAAACATGAAATTTGAGCATTAACATGGTTGGAGAGAAGATTGAGATTCAAAACCATCAAAAGAAACATCATCGATACTTACAGCAAGATATACAAAATTGCACCTCCCTGACATTATTTGGGAGATCTGTAAGATAGTATAAAGCTAAAAACTAACAAATTTGTCACACTCCACAATATGGCGAAGTTCATATCTCAATTCAACTAAAATTTCAATTCACCTATATAAATAACTATTTTATATTTCATTTGTTTGATAATTTTCACGTTTATTTTTAAACTATTATTCGCAATATTTTCCCGTCCGAGTAACGATAACGGTAAAATGATAATGTATGTATAGAAAATGCATCACATTCGTATAAAAAATTGTTTACGTGACCAAAAAGTATACCGATTTAAAAACGTGCAATTCCATTTTTATTTTTATTCTTTGTAGCGTAATCGCATAAAATATATTGCGTGTAAAAACCACGATAAAGAATCACTGTGACCGTCAGCGAGTTAAGAAATCAAATTTTTATCGAACAAATAAGAAAAATTTATGGATCGTCGAGTTTTTATCCTGTTAAAAATATATTTATTATTAATATTGATATTTAGTGTTTTATCCTTTGAAAACATACAAATACAAGATTATGAAAGAATCTAATGTTAACTTTTTCGTTTCTACATGTATTTATATAATGTTTTATAGAACATAATAAAAACAACATAGCCCAATGATAGAATATTATTTCCTATGTTGGGAAAAACTTTGGTTAACCAACATTGAGTGTACAGTATAATCGGTGACCAGCCCATAACCGCGTAACGTATTAGTTTCTGAAAAAGAATAATTATTGTCGGCATATTACCTATGTAATATTATGTGACGTCTTCCCGCGGCGTGTATTCGAAAACTTCTGTTGACAAACATCACTAGTTACAATTCACTGTAGCCTCAGTATCTACCTGAAGCTATTATTATATCGATAGTGATTTTTTTTTTTTTTTTATATATATATATTTATACATACTATAGCCGAACAACGAGAAAACTAAAAAAAAAAAAAAAAATGTTAAATTCAATTAAAAATGAAAATAAACATATGTTTCTTCGTACTGGACTACTGCACTCTGTGGTAGTTATTTAATGAGAATTTTATTTCGTTTTGAATTATCGCCACGATAGCAGAGTTCAGCTGTGTGATCCATTATTTTAGTACGTTGAAAAAAAAAAACTTTTATTTGCACGTGCACAATCTGTAGGGTGTTATATATTCGTAAAAAAAAAATAATAATAATAATAAAAACAATTATTTTCGTATAGATTATTCGAAATAAAACGAACACGTGTTTTTTAGTTTTATAATTTTCGTTCCGTATAACAAACATTAAATAATAATAAAAAAAAAACCGCCATGTGCAATCGTGAAAACGAATTACACCAATAATATCGATAAATGAACTGATAAAATAATACCTATGTATACATGTTGTGTACATTATAGATTTGTTTTTTTTCAACCCGTTAGTCTTATTTGATTTTTAATCCAAACCATAAACGGCATAATAATTTTGAAAAGAAGGTCGTTTTGGTATAATATTCATCGGAATAAACAAACGAATAGCCCGCGGGATTAACGATACTATCAATAATTCCGTAACAATAAGGCGCTATAATAATAAGTTGTACGACGTACCCACTTGAACAATAAAATCATTTCTCCTAGAACATAATTATTAGGTGTATAAATCTCAATAATTACTTATTGTATTACATTAATACGCGACGAATAGAAAATGTAATATAGGTAAGTGATGTGACATAGATCCGGATTATCCGGAAAAATCCGGATTTTGGATTTCAAATCCCCGAAATTCCAATTTTCTATGCAAAAATTCTAGTTTTTTTGTCAATTTATATTTATAATTAGTTTTTGAATTGTATACGGATTTTCTAAAGAAACTAAAATCAAAGTTCCGAAATCCGCAATCCGGATTTTAAATACATTTTTGATTTTGGATTCCGAACGTTCAGCAAATCCGCTGCAATAAGATATACGTTGCTAAAGTCGGGGGACTGTACTAACTTTTGTCTTTACCGATAATAAATTTACTCTAGAATTTGTTCACCAGCAGTATAGGTGCTTCACATAGAACTGCATGTAAGTTCGTTCGAGCTTCCATATTATATTTTCAGTACAGTTCCAGTCACCGATTATTTGTATGTGTACTGATAGGTTTACTATTACTTGGATATGTTACATGGACGGTGCCCGGGTAAAAGAAAATAACAACACTTTAACAATTGGTTTTTTTTTTTTTTTAATTACATATTAACTTTGATAATATATCCATTAAAAGCGAACTAACATGTAGATTAATTTATTCATAAAACATACGAGAAAATAGGATAAATTTGTGTTGTACACATAGGAACTATTCAATATAAAAGTATAGAATATACTTATTCCCTACCCGGGCATCGTCCATGTCGATTATGATTTTTTTCTATAAAAAATAACAACACTAGTGTAATAACGATAACGTTTCCAATTAAACAAATACGAATATTAATTAAATTATATCACTGTTAATAACAATCACTATTCATTGTTAATACGTTTTATCTCATCATTGTTTGCAACAATAATATTAAAGAAAACATATAGGCAATTTCTTTGTCTTTTTCTGAACAAGTGCACAATTTTTATAACTAATTGATAATAATTCATATACAATATTATTTCATTATCTTATGTTCGCATGTCGGTACTCGTTAACAAAATATACAATACCTCGTTTGGCCAGCGCAGTGGCATGTTTGCAATGGTTTCAGCAGGGACTGGTACATTTCGGTTTATTCGGTTCATGACCCGGGTTCCGCAGTACTAAATCATTATTTACTTATAGGTTCTGGTTCCGGTTAAAATTTTTAAAAAGTAAAATAAACGGTTAAGATCAGTGTTCCGAATTAGTAACAAACTTTTTTTTTCCAAACCTATTTAAATACTTTAGTATCTGTGTATGCCAATATTAATATTTAATTACCGGTCTAGCACTTTACTGTTCAAAACTGAGTACTTGCAACTAATCCAGATACTCATTTGGACACAAATGATACATACACGTTCAAGAATTTACAATAATATTGAGTTTTTCGTTGATAAAAATTAACATTTTGGTAGCTCTCAGCCATTTTAATTTGCGTACATTTCAACTTACAGGTACTTTGTACTTAGATTAGGTTAGGCACTTTACAGAATACAATTTATAATGTTCATATCAACTTACATGTTATACTTGTATTCGTTAAAAAAAAAAAAATATCATACTTAATTAATTGATCTTTTAAAAATCAAATACGAGACTAGGTATGCTGTCGACACGTTATTTTAGAAAAAATATACAACATAAAATTGAAACTGTATATTAATCATTGCAATAAATTCTGGTGATTATCGTTGAAAAATATGGGTTCCGGTTGTCTGAACATATTTAAATTCGGTTCCGATTAGGTTACGCTTCACACTATTTTATTGGTTTTTCGGGCCTAGAAAGATTTACCCGGAAACCGGTGCTACTGGGTGGCTAAGAGAAGACAGATACAATTCTCGTTAGTGTAACAAATGTACTTGAAAAATAATTAACTATTATGAATAAATAGTTAGGCGATTTTAATACCTCATAATAATTTACACACATCATGCGCGGACTTTGATAGGTTTTGATAGGTATGTTCAAATATAATGAGTGATGTGAGTGGTATATACAAACCTCGGCTCCTCGGGACTTAGGTAAACATAACAATGTAGTTCGACACGGCATTGCGTCTGGCCGCATGGTAAACAATAATATTACGTTAAAACTATTGAAGTGATTAACTCGAAATTAGTCATAGTCGAGAAGTTGGTTATTTTTTTCACTCGAATCATAGGTTACACTTTTATTGTGATCTATTCCGGGATGCATCTCGAGTAGGCTGCGAGATAAAAAAGAATCGCTAACGGACCGTGCAAATAGTCTCTTGCTTCATTTTTGTTGTAACGTAATTTCACTACACAATATTGCCTATATAGAAACAATTGGTAATACAATTATAATCATGTAAATCAATCAGAAACAATGACCTAAAACGTTTTTTTTTTTTATGGTTTTGGTCGTAAACGTACAAGTTTAAATATTAAAAAAACATAATTGAAAATACGAACGGTTGTAAATTGTAAGCCCACAAATCCACCCACCCACTGTTAAATATTCTACTGTCAATGTCTACACGTGTCTACGATTTTGAGTATTTTTTTAAGTATCTGCTACCTAAATATGGTTTAATATTTGATTGTTATCCCAAATTGCGTTCCGCGGGCGTCGGTACAATACTGCACTCAATTTGAAATCTTAAAATGCGTTGAAAAAAAAACGTGATAAACGTGATTCAAAAACGACGTTATTTTTGTTTTTTTTTAAATTTCTGATGGTGTAGCCTCATAAGTACATGCAGAGGTCCTGCAAATAATCATTTCACTGTTCTTCGCACGATGATAGTTAAAAAAAAAAAAAAAAAAAAAAAAAAACAAATGGTATAACTCGTCGGCAATGTATACAAACTATAAAAAAAAACCTCATTATTCTTTATTAGTTGACAGTATTTCTGGTAAAATAGTAACGGAAATTTAACGGCGATGGCAAGTAATAATAATAAACAATATTATAAGTACACAGTTATTTTTGATGCGATTATATTTGTATGTCTATATAATTAATTAAAAATTGATTGAACGAGTAAACGATAGCGTTTCCATTTGGGACTTATTCGATACCGATGCGAAGGCGAAGTAAACAAATTATCCGGGTAGACAATATGTAATACAATTCCTAAAACTCCATTCTGCAGGAGCGATAAATAATACTGTTTCAAAGTTATGGGCGGGTACAACAACCAGTGTCTATTTTTGTTACGTCTGGCAGATTTCGATAACGAGATCAGCAATTAACAGAATTTAATTTACAAAACAGTCGGTACTGTTTACTTAATGTACACAATAATAGCGAGAAAAACATCCGGTATTAAAGCTATAGCGATAACAAAGCTAATAATAAATGTCTCCATGTCGTACTACGAAGATGTGTACACTACTTTGAAATAGTGATTTCGTATATTATTATTCTATTACTGTAAGAAATCTAGTTGAATTATGTGTGTCACGGGATGAAGGATAAACCTAACTACCTACCTACCTACGAAATGTATAAATGCGTATTTTATTTTATATAGCTCCGATTTACAATGACACCACTTTATATGAAAAGAAATCTGACCGGGGTGGCACTTTAAGGACGTCTGTTTGATTTTCCTAGCTGTTTTCATAATAAATGGGAAAAAACGTGGGAAAAACTAGGAAATCGTGTTTTCGTTAGCAATGGTTAATCGTTGCGTACAAATATACATTATTTGCCCTCTACTACCTTCCCAATTTTTCCTTTACAACAGCGGTCCTTCCACGTCCGTCTTTTTTATAATAATATTTTGGGACCGAAATTTTCCCATCGCATAATTAATATCCAACAGCTTGACCTGCTTAATATGGATCTCGAGTGATGAGTAAAACTTTTCTAATTAAACCATTAACAACGTTACAAACTGTTAAATACCCTTCTGTTATAGTTTCTGTAATCACTGACCACGTTATCCCAAAGTTATCGTTGTTGATAAGTATTATTATTATTCTATTCCAGAGCTTTTGCTACCATCACTATACTATCTTTTATACTTCACGGTTCTGAGCTATCTCCTTCCACTCCTGTTTTTCCTACTGTTTTAGGATTTCCCTTCAATACTTTCCTCTTGGTTTCTGGTTCCCATTCCCCTGTGGTCTTAACAGTTTCGTTTCTAATTCACCTCGTTACATTTTCCAACCACTATATCCTTTGGCCTTTTATGTAGCTGAAGGTACTTAAGAATAATAATTATTAATCGGTACAAAATCTATCTTTAATTAATTAATTTTCGGTTGACGTAAGGTTTGCCACTAATTCAGTCCCATAAGCATTATCGAAAAATATACTTTCCGTGATTTACGCAAGACTTTTCATCAAGCCCAAAATTTTAATAACCGATCGTACTTTGTCAATGAAATTTCGTTGTCGATTATCTAATATAGCGAGTACCTTGTCTTTAAAAAAAAAAAAAAACACGAATCTGGTTTAATCAACTTTAAAATATCTCCGCGCATCCAAACTAACCTTTATCTTGAACAAAAAAAACCTTTACGTCGCGATTGTAGCAATTTTTACGATTATCGCCCTGTTATTTCACCGGTACACGGGCATATTAACAACGAGAAAGTGTATAATAGTTGTAGATACATATCTACTTTACTTGGAACAATTTAGTTTTTTCGACTTTTATATTAAAAAAATAATAACAATATCACGTGTTATATCAAACGTTAAATAATATCCGAAGCGAACCTGTTGGATGTGTTGCAGATTTTAATGTATACATATTATAATATACTATATAGGTGTTGTAAAAGGGAAATCCAAGTTAAACGAATTTATTTTTCCTACCGATGACGTATTATTAAGATCGAAAAAACTCAGATTTTTTTTAGTGTATGACTAAAAAAAAAAATAATAATAAAGGAATTTACATCGAAACGAAAAAAAATATTATAACAACGCAAATAGGTATACGGATCACGTCATAAGCTGATTTATTAATAGCGTCGAACTTACGTAGTAGGTTTACATCGCTGATGTTTCCCCGCGATGGCGGATATTCGCAGCGTTTATTAAATAAAGTTACACGAGATTTACATGTCATTATTAATGGATAGTGACGGCTGTGCAGGTACTTATAGGAAACGCGCCTTATTCGTATATACGTATGAGTATGCAGTTGGATATAAATTCCCGGGCGCCTGGAAATGGTGTCTCTTGCGCGTCAATGTTATAATAATATATAATATATTATTATGCTTGAAATATTGTATTTACTATACGAATTGTGCGTATTTTCGTTTGTTTATATTCATTATTTAAAATCAACACGTATAGCCCACGTCCACGACAACGTGCCGTTATATACTTACCTCCCCTATTTTACGAGAGGTGTGGTATTGTGGTCGTGTATACACTATGTCGAGAGCAACTGGTGAATTATGTTTAAGACAACTGGTTTATTTTAGTGGGCAATTATTGAAAAAAGAATTTGTGAAGACAACTGCAGGTACACGCTCCGACAATCAATAAATGTGAATTCTCCAGTTGAGTTTTCATACTTTTCATGACACAATAATAATAATTATAATTATGTGTGTTACAAATAATTTTAAATTCCGAGCGGAGCAAAGAAATATTCTCTAGGTGGTACCTTAAAAAGGCCATTTTATAAAATTCTCACTAATATTCGAGATAATGAGGAAATCCTGGTTCTTCAGGGTGAAAAAGATTGAAAGATTAAAAACAAGGTTGTCATTTACAACGGTTTTCATTTATTTTTTGTTATTTTTAAGTTTTAATTATTTTAAATAATCATTTTTAAACAATCATTATTGTCTGGAAACGCACATTGTTGTAATCATTTTACCATAATATTATGAAATATATATTGTCGACAAAGCAACACTATCGACTGAAATCCGATCAGAATCGTTTTTTCGTTAACAATGATTTATCGTTGCTTACAAATATACATACAATCCACGTCTGTGTCCTACTTTTACAAATTCCCACCTACAATAGTGACTACATCCACGGACGAAGTATGTTTTATTATACGTAGAATATATCTTATAATATATAAATAAACGAAAAAAAAAAAAAAATAATGGTATAGTTAATATGATTACAAAGTTTGTATCGCAATATTGTTGTATTTTGTGCCTCGTACGTCTATTGAATATTATTATTTTTTTTTTTTTATATGCTATAGAAATTTAATTATTATTTTCTTCTTTTAGTTAATGCAAATTGTTTGAAAATTACAATAAAATTATCGAAGTGGAAAAATCGAACAGCCTAATTTTAAGTACCTAAATGATTAATACAATTAATAACTTTAATATTTTTTTCTTTTTAACATTATAATAGTTCAAACAAAAAATAAAACTTATAAATAAATAAATAAACTGTTGAATATGAAATTTAAAAAAAGATCTGATATTGCTGATAGGTAGGAAGTCGAGAAATTAGGATACATACAAATATTTAGTTTATAAATGTAAGCAATGGTTGTACATGATTAAAAAAGCCACAATGTTTACGGTTCTCATCAAAATATGTTCTTACAACAATTATAAAACAAAAATTCCTTCATTAAACTCTACTTTTTTAAACTCTAACTCCACATAGACTTAAGAAAATAAAAACTACGTAAGAAACTCGCAAAGATAAAATGCTCAAAAATCGCTAAAATGTTTTGAACGTTTTACTTGATTTCTTTCTAGAAGAGGTAAACATAAGTTTTCTATTAAATTTTCAATTTACTACGAATATTTTCTACTGAAATACACACAAAAAAAAAAAAATTATAAATCATGAAACCATTATTTCCGTAAACTTGTCCGTTCTTTCAATCTTAATTGCCTTCTTTATTTTGAATTGAAAAAAAAAAAATCAAAAAACGACTTTTTTACTTACCTATTTGATTAAAAATACAGCATATAAGGTCTCGTGTCATTTTTTAATTGGAGCAAGGTTTCTGGTCAAAAAGTTGTTTACAGACTAAAAAACAATTTGAAAAAAAAAACCACTCATTATAGTAAAACTTATAAGTTAGATCTCTTGTTTTGAATGTACAATTCATAAATTTCACGTTTCATAGGAAAAAGAACACTGCACCTGATATCCCACATAACCCATAACATATATTATATATATTTAAATTTTCACAAGAAATTGCGAAACCTGTGGGGAGAAAAAGAAAAGTACACCGAGTAAATACGCTGAAATAAATGCGTTTCGATTTAAATGTCTACTCGAATAAATAAAATACGATAGCATAATGATACTAGAATATTGTTTCAATGAGAATAAACAGTTACACGGTAAAAGACTCTGCAGGCAATTCTAAACCCGATGGTAAAAATTGGTCCATTTTCTGACGCATTGTCTATAGACAACATATTATTTCGGAAAACATGCAATACTTGAGAATCTAATATTTCTGTAAAAAAAAAAAAAAAAAAAAATTGACAATGTTTGAAATAACAGAACATGTTGCAAATTCGTTTGTTTATTTCCATACGTTTTTATCGGGTGTTGTTTTTTTAAAACTATTACGAAAACTGCTTGGAAAAACGAAAAATAACTCTCCCGACACACCACTCAAATCCAAAATGCAACAGAATAGCTCTAGTCGAAAAAAAAATCGCACACATCATAGTAGAAGACCGTTAAATTCCATGTTCTACTCCGAATCTAAAAATAAACAACCTAACCTTTTTCGTGCATTTATAGAAGATAATTAACGATAGGAAAAATTAGTGTTATATGACAAACGGTAAGATTTACTGCGAATACGGACGTATTTTAAGTCCTATTTACCGGTGGTGGCATCGGTTTCCGTCGAAATATTAATCATCATTTTAAAACCGAGATTATAATATATTAGAGTGATGGCGACAATAATATATCAAAACGGTCCTTTAATGCCTCGGTTATTTAACGTGTACGTTTGACAATGTTTTACTATAAGTAAAATATACTTTCGGTATAATGGGCATTAAAAAAAAAAAAAATTAACTTGAACCCCGTGATATTGAGTCCGTCGGTGTCTACAATATGTTTTCGTTAAATGCGAAATCGTTTTCGAATTAACTCGTGGTAAGCATTGCAAGTTCGGATTAACGTGTAGGCTGAGTAGACACGTCGTGGGTATACGCAATTACGCGGTTATTATGTCTATTGTTACGTACTAAAACCTCGAAATTGTCACAAATGTTAAATTTATAATGTTTCAATTATTATAATTTTGCATCGTAAATTCAAAACTAAACAGAAAATGAGTTTATCAGAGAGGGGAATGCTTAGGTGTATGAGTGGAGTGACGAGGGAAGGTAAGGAACGAGTACATTAGGCGTAACACAGGAGTGGCTTCGATAGTAGTGAAATGAGAGAAAATAGACTGAGATGGTTGGGCATATCGTGAGGGGAGAGAAATCAGAAACATTCAGAATACTAATGAAAATAAACGGAGGCAGAAAGAGAGAAACTGAAAAATATGTGGTTTTATGCGATTGAGAATGAAATGAGGACAGCCGGTGTATGTGAGATGGGAGATCGGATCAAGTAGGTGTTTAGGACGAGGGTGGCTGATCGAAAAAAGCTGGGTGAAAGGAGTGTGATAAATTCGTGAGATTCAAATCAAATCGTACAACGCCGAATTAAGATCGGAGAGCAAAAAAAAGAAATTGGCAACGCCTCAATACCGTAATACGAGTGTCGGGGCGAATGCCGAACGACGATGTACGATGCCGTTTGCTTATTTCTTATCATTATTTATTATTACTGTTATTTTTGTTATACTTGCTGCGGTTTATGCGGTGCCACATAGTGTTTGAATTCTTAATTTTACGATCTCGTTATGTTATAGCCCGTCATAGCATCCTATATCTGTATCGAAAAATTGAACTTTGGGAATATTATACGATTTTGGAAAAAATGCGATTTTATATTATTAAAAATTCGGAAAATATTCCTCAAAACGAGTATTGACGTTTGAAATGCAATTATCGTGTTCGGGGAAAATTGAACATCACAGATACCTCGTTTATTTCCCCGTGTCAGCTAAAGAAAACCCGAATTCGAACACTGTAATGCGGCGTACGGATTAACAGATTCTGAGTGCAGTGAATAATGTTTTATATCGACTTGTTACTATGTTATGTGCTTTTTTTTTATTAATAATTATATCATGTATGATTTTCTGCACTTTCACGCATACAGAAACATTATACTTAGTCGTATACTATTTTCAAAATATTCTGCCTTTTTTAAAATTATTTATAGCTATTCGGAAATTTTGAGTTGCTTTAGTTTTAATTTGGCATATTAGGAAAATCATTAAACACGAAGATTTTTATTTTGTCTATCAAAAAAATACTGAACTAAATTCTGTTACCTTCATATTTTTTTTTTTTCCAATACAGGGTAAAATAAATTAGGGTGGGTGAAGTATAGCTTTATTTTGTGTTCCAACTGTCAATCCGCAAATATTGATTTACAGCACAATATTTATATTAGGTACTCTTCACTCTCGGGTTATTACCTATCCTTTATTTTTTCTCTTCCGGACCGGGTTATAAACACAAAATAAAATCCGTACGTTGTTGTCGGGATGTTCTTCGGAATATCTGACAGTTTGCTTGACAATAAGATATCGTATAACGCGTGCGTCATGGTTATGTATATGTGTATAAAGGTATAAAACCCGTAGGGCGCGAAACAAATCAACCTCATTCGGCGGCCACCGACAACCTGCACCGCAAGAGTGTTGCGTAAAATGTTTTTACAGCTTTTTTCTCCCTTTGCAAACGACGACGAATTAACCGACAGATTGGCCGGTGATAAATCGACAAACGGTTTACCTCCGCACACGTGTAAAATTCGCACAGGCTCGCAGTATGTAAGGTATAGGTATAAGTTGATATTTTCTAAAACAAAACGTTTTTCAAATCGTCAGACCCAATTATACGGCGTTATTTTAAAGAAACCTAATTTTCTCAAAAGATCATTTTCCATTTACTATACCGATAGTGAGATTGTTTTTATTTTTTTAACGCATACATATTATTTTAGATTCGATGAAAGATTAACGAATCGATCATTTTAGATAATATTTATTTTATATTCAGTGTCAAAAAATACAGCCAATATTTTTATCTAGATAAAAGATAGCTAAATAATAGTGAAAGACGCAATTTTTTTTGAATATTACCTTAACTGCATCGAGATATGAATATTTCAATGCATCACGTTGGAGTGTCAAATCTACAAAATCAACCGCCAAGTTTTTAATAGCGATTTCGTGTTAAAACAGGAAAAGGGTAAATGATAAAAAGCGCTTATTTTTTATTGAATATCAGCTGTTTTTTTCCCGTGCAATAAAAATAGATAATTTATCATTTACGTATCGAACGTACGGTAATTACGGATTACGAAAATTAATAATAATGTTTTTTTTTTTTCATCCGTGATACCAAGGTGAACCATAAACCAATAAAAAATAATTCGATTTTTATACTACAAATATCTAAAAACCGAATTTTAGGGAATGTTGTTCAATGAAGGCGAGGGGAATGGTCGATTTCATTAGCTATAAATCTTCTCTGGACAACGTGGTACAACTCCCAAAGTTTCATGGCGTTCGGATGAATGGTGTAGTAATGCATTAAGGACAAATAGACATGCATTCGTTTATATATATATATATAATACAGGACATAGAAGAAAAGATAAGAATAGGATAGAAGATGAAAAATCGGTTATTGTTGTACAGACGTAATAGTATGGTTTATTATTTGTGAATTTACGAGATGAGAGCTTAAATTTTAAAAAAAAAAAACTTCAGAAATGTTGATATCATTTATAGCGCAGTTATAAGTAGGACAAGGTGGGCCATTGTCACATTTGACGCAGTTAAAGCCACTTAAATTTCTACGATTTACACGAAGTGAAGAATCGACTAAGTATTATGCAAAAACCTAAACTTGCGCTTTACTACCAATAGGTACGTCACTAATCAGTACTTTGTGTCTTCAACAACTACGTGTTTACCCCGAAATCAATCAAGAAAATAAAGACAAAAAAAAAAAAGACGTTTTGTTTTTATATGAATAAAACATAAATAATTGTAGTAAGCCGTTATCTAGATTATTTTTCAGATTATATTCATCTCGTTACTCCCGACAATGAATTTTTATTGTAATTTTCCGCGTTTGTGCGTGTGTGCCGTGTGGTGCGTATGGCCATCGGATTGTGTATCATCCCTATGACACCCAGAAATGTTTTAAACCGTTAAAAACAGCGTTCGCGTCAGGTTCGGATAATTTATCGTTGTTAAAATGAATACATACCCGTTACGTTTTACCGAAACTCGAGTGTTCTACGCACAGATAAACACTAAATAGGTTTATACTAGCGATTTGGGCTATTTAATGGTTTTCACAAAGCGTGTATGTATACATGTAAAAATAATATAAAATACCGATCGTATGAATAATCTTTAATAATATTATCGATTAGTTTATCGAATAGTTTTCCCTGATAAGAAAATAATTAGATACGTCTCATTTCATCGGTTTTAATCGGGAATACTATATTTATTCGCGAAAATTCAGAACGGTCTTATAAATGAATTTCCGTATACATTTTGACAAATTATTTATAAATAGTCTTGTTATAAATTTCCTTATCGCAACAGCCACCGGTCTCTACACGTATTACAAATTGTTTATTTGTAATCCATCCGGGTGTCCTTAAGAAACTTACGTGGATTAACTCTCAACTTAAAACTTTTATACTTATAATACACGCTCTCCCTTAATTTACCCTTCAACTGCAGTACACTGTGATAATGTATTTGAAATACCATAATATCGCTAACGTAGTGATTATTACACATTTTAGATTCTGAGTGAAACGAGGGATCTATTGGTTTTTCTATGATACGTATTTTTGTTTTGTCTGTATAAATAACTTTTCTCCTAGAAATTTTGGTCCAATCAAAACATGATAAGTGACCTTTTTTTGCCTTTGAGATTTGCTTCTAGTTGGTACCTTAGAAAAGTTATTTTTTGAAATTCTCATTAGTATTCGAAATAATGCGGGAAAACGGGTTCTTTAGATGAAAAAAGATTAAAAATTCGATTGCCATTAGCAACCGTTTTTATTTATTTTCTGTTATTATATTAATCAATCTATCTATTTTCAAACAATCGTTGTCGTGATACACACAATGTTTTAGATTCTGAGTGTAGCGAAGAATATATTGGTTTTACTAAGATGTTTTTTTTTTTACACCGAGTACAAAAATTCTGCCAGAAATCTTGCTTAGATATCTATGCACGGCTCCATTTCTAAAAGGGAATATTTTACTTTTAGGCGGTCATTTTTCGATTTTCCATGTGGTTTTTATAATATCTGCGAAAAACCCAGATAAAACGTAAGAAAAACGGGAAATTCACGAAAATAATGCTTTCATTATTTTTCAATTTTGTCATTTGTTGTAGTTCAGTTTAAAATATTCATAGAAATATGAAATTTCAACAGAAGACTCATAGTTGCCTTTTCTAGACGTGGTCAAATTTTCAAAAAATGTAAGCCATTTTTTAAGCTATTTATATACATTTAAATTTTGCGAGTTTTGTACGTAATTTTTATTCGATAGATACTTTGTAGTAAAATTGTTAGACTTAAAATAACTGCTTGAAAATTTAACAGGAGGTTTATTAGGAGTCTTTGTAGGATCAAAAAAATGAAAATTTGAGTTGAATGTAAAATTTTTTTTATAAAGGAATTTCAATGTCAAATTTTGACGAAAATTGTTGAGTAAAAATTTAAGTGGAACAAATCTAATTTTTCAATTTTTTTTTTTTTGAACATATGTATATTGTCAATTTAAGAACGATGGTAAAATTATAATTTAATGGACTGACTAAGTTTTGAAGTTATAGCTTTTTAAAATTCTAATATTATGAGGATATTATATGTTATGTTAAACGTATTTGTTCGCAAAATTTCATTTGAAACTATATACATATAGGTATGTGTTTTTACCTTCTGAACATTGACGATCCAATAAATTACTCTGATTTTTAGATTACTTTTAAGTGTAGCAGAATATAACGTGCTAAATGTCCCATTAACTGTATACGTTTACGAAAGTACACGAAAAAGGGACTCGTTATTTTTGATTCAAACGTAATATCATTTTTTTCCCAATGTCAAAACTGCTGAGTAATGTCCAGGGTCGTTTATCATAGAAAATATAGGTATAAACCTCGTTTAGTGTTCGTAATGAGTTAGACGTTTAAACTTAAAACCTATATTTTATGAACGTATTTAATTTATTTAATATATATTTGTGTTTTATTTAAGTAATCTAATGTATGTAATTGTAGCCCTTTGTTTTTTGAATATTCCAAAAATTATTACATTGAAATTGTTAAAGTTCCGTGCTATTATCTCCAATCAAACCCAAGTACTTAATTAAAAATAATAATATTTAAAAAAAAAAACACACGTAAACCGTACTGACTTATTAACAATAATACAAACAAAATAACAATTGTTTTTAATTCGTTAAATCTTTATTGTTATAAAAAAAAAAAAAAAACAAACAAAAACAAAACTTAAACCAACGTATCACAGTACAAATTCTCGTTTGTTCAAATTGAACATTTAATCTATTGAAGGGTGTCCTACCGCCCGCAGTTTGACAAAAACCGTTTTGCGGTGGAAATAACAATTCTCAAGCCATAGACTTAATCAAGACAACAGATTAAAAGGAGAACCTGAACTTTACAAAGTTTATTGGTTTTATTTTTTTGATGCTACAAAATTCAAAAAAAAAAAAAAAGAGTTATTACTGTCCTAAAATCTGACAGTTTTAAGTTTGAAAAACTCGAATAACTTTATCAGTAATTAGAGATAATTAATATTTTGTTTTTATTTTTATTAAAACGGTGATTTTATTGATTTTATTTTATTTAATTAAGAAAACCGGGAAAACCGCCCTACAGTATCCGGTTTAGGTTCGGCTTGGGCCTAAATTGGGATCAAACTTACGATTAAACAAAAACTGGAGAATAAAAATATGCTATCGATTTAACTGTTTATAAACTGCAATTTAAACGCTAATCGAAAACTTTGTAATTAAACATATTTGTATGACAGAGTTTATTTGAAATACAATAAAAGAAAATCAGTTTATCTCGGTATAAATATTTGATGCTGCTATTGTAAACTGTCGGTAGGTACTCGGGTTCCTCTTGTTTATTATAATTTGACATTTATTACTGCAGTACCTATTTGTTTTGCATTGTCAATATAAGTGTACACTTACTCTAAAAAATTTAGTAATTGGCTATTAAAGAGTATTATAGGAAAACTATGTAATCTCAACTAATAGTAATTCTATCGTCACTAGTAAGACACAGTAATGAAATATCAAAACGTAATATAAAAAAAAAAACAAACAAAAATACACTAAACGTCCGTTTTGATAATACCTGTATCCGGAATAGCATATTATGAAATTAATTCCATAGTATAAGTACGTTTAACACTCGATAGATTTAAAAACAAGAAAGAAACGTGTTACGTGATAATACATGGTTAGCAAGAGTGTAATTTGTGTTTATTTTTTTTTCATCAAACAAAATAATAATTCCACTTGAAATATAAGGACCTATGTTAACCTTGCGTAAGAATGATTCATTCATTATAACATATCGGGGAGGCGTTTCTTATTATCGTCTCACAATTATTGAAATTAGGAAATTAAATATTAAACCAGGCGGACGAAGTACGCATTGTGTATGGTATAATATCTTAATCGATGTTTTTTACGTTCCGATGGAATAAGTTGTTGATTCTAAAGATATTATATTACATTACACTCTTAAGTAGTAATAACTTTTTAAAAACCGCGTAATGTCGATACCGAACTATTGAGTTGACATCGTTAGATTCATTTCGAAATAATATATACCAACACTAAGTACCACTTGTTTACATTCAAGACGTCTTAAACCTATATCCATAGATCATACTAAAGTGGATATTTACAAAGAACTTGGGTTAAATTATAATTTCAATATTCATAATCATTAGTGAAATCCTAACAAGCTCTGGAGTTCTCACTTAAACCATATTATCATTTTAATTTTGCATTTCAAATCATTTTATTGATATTGATACGACAAAATGTGCTCAAAATTATTTATGTTGGTATGTTACAGGTTATTACAAAAAAATTCTGAATTTTATTTTTAAATCAAAATGGATGATTCTGTAGATTTTCATGATGATTACGAATTTTGAAACGAACCAGTTGAAGTTAGAGCTCTCGGACAAAGATTTTTTTTAAAAGAGATTTCGGTTTACTAAATTATTAATACCACGAACTAAGCTTCGTGATGACAGTCAGTGGCTATATTTTGTTCTGAATTCCCGTGGTTTTTGAAAACGATTTCTTTTTATAACGGAGGCAGTAGAGAATAATGCAACTATACTTATATACGTAATAAGAACACATGTAGCAGGGTGCAAATTTCAATTTTTCGTACACAAAAATAACCACCGATAAAAATACAATACCTGCCAACTGTATACATCCGGAAGCCCTCCCTCCGTAAAAGTACTCCAATATAATCTCGGTTTGATTTTCATCATAAACACGTACTCTATATGCATTTTTTATAATCGCTCTTGCCGTCATCTTATCCTGGATCCGCCTATGATGCGAACAGTATTTCGGATTTTTTATTTATTCGGCAGTTCACGATTTTTACGTTGGGTTCAGCCGATTTCGTACGAACGTATTTGCATAAAATTTTCTACATATTCGTGTAACGGACCTACATAATATTTTATGTATACAGTAATAAAGTGTAAATATAAAAGCGTTTTTAACGAGAAATCGAAATAAAACATGACGTATGCCTACTCTATGTCTCAATAATAATAAGATGACGACAAACGTCCGCACTAACATATCAACGCGTTATTTATTACTATTTTATAGTTTTAAGAACCTTGGGGAATTTGGAAATATATTATATATTATATTAATGTAAATAAATAGGACCGCGGTGAAAAATTTTACACGCCAAACGGCGCGGTTTACTTAAACAACAATAAATAAATCACGAGTAAATCACAACAAATAATAATTTAGTTCACGAGAATGTTCGCATATTACACACGCTACATTTATTTTTTATACATATATCTTTATATACAGTGATTCACTAAGTGTGCTCACTTCATTTTTTTAGTTAAATTTTGCATACGTTCAAATTTTGATTTTCGTAATTTTTAAGTGTAGTTAAATCCGTTAATTTCGAATTTTTAGATTTTTCACAACATTATTAAGCTGTATCCTGCGGAGATACCAACGTTGGCTTTTCAAAATGACAACCTATATTAAAAATTCCATAAATAGACGGAATATTACTTTAAATTAATGTTAGTATCATACATTTTGATCCATCAACCCGTTTATGAGATACTCCACTTATAAGTTTAAGTAGGGTGTATCATTTGTGTGGCAGCACGGTACGCGGCATTTTAATATTGCTCCTCTACACTTTTTCTACTTACACAGAAAAGTAAATTTGAAATTCAGTATTTGGATGTATGCAAAATTTAATCAAAAAAATGGGGCGAGCGCAATAAGTGAATTACCCTGTATATATCGAATTATTAAAGTATATATTTCTATAAATAAATCTACTCAGAAAAAAATATACATAAAATAAAAATACCTTCTATACTAGGTGATTTTTTTTTTTTTATCGTGAACCAACAATTTTCTTGGGCTATTTTAAGTGAATTAGTTTTATGTTTTTTTTTTTTATTTTTTTAAACTATAGTGGAATTGTTGAAGTTTTATTTTAAAACTGTTTTAAATATGTTCACCCCCGACTCTATGTAGCTTAAATACGTATTATACTACTGCGTATCGAAATGTCTAGAAAAATATTTTCTGTTCGAATTTGAGTTAAAAAATGGGAGTTCCTATTTGAAAAACAAAATTACACACTTATTTAAGGTAAACGGATTAGGGAAAACAATTTAAAATGGTTTTAAAATAATGGTTACACGAACCTACAATGTTTAAACAAAAAAAAAATTCACTTAAAATTCGGCTGGTGCATGATAAAAAAATCACTTTAGCATGTAGACAATAACGCTATAAATCAAACACAGTAAATAATATTACGTATTAAAATACTTGGGTTTCAAAATAAATATGATCGAAGATAAAAATTCGTAAAAAAATAAATAAAATTTGGTCTGTAAACAAAACAAAAAATAGTCTAAAAAGTTTTTGATTGGAGAATAACTTTAAAAACTAATAACGTGAAAAATAAATAAAAGTAAAATACCTGTGAAAAAATATAAACTTTTGACACTGATGTATTGTTTAAATCGTTCCGTTTAATTATCTTGTCCGTCACAAATTCGCGTTTTAAATTAACATCAATATGTAGTTCGTTTTCTCTTGTTTTAGAATAATGTACATAACATTTTACGATAAGTGCGATTTACGTCAATCGGTATATTTACTTTAAATAATTCGCACTATAGATTTCGTAATGATAAGCTGTTAAATTATTAACTGTCTCACGAAAAAAAAAAATAAATCCCGTTTTTTGTTCAATAACGATCGATCATGAATTTACGATAGACAATTTTCTTTTTTTTTTTCTAAATATGTGCCTTTTGACATTTGATTTCATTTAATCAATTCGTAATTCGTAACGTTTAAGTATTATTATAATTCGTTGCCGTTTACGTTTTCCCCGCGTCGACGTATTTATGGCGTTATTAATTATTACGCGCTTAAACTTGCATTTTTTTTTTTTTTCATAAAATCACTCCATGACTCTACGATTCAATTTGAAGATTGGTTTTCAAAAAAATTTTTACAATAAATGACTTCTCCATTTTTCCATATTTTTGAGATCGCTGTTTTCCCCGATTTTAGTTTCTTTTATCAATAATCGATTTAAGTTATCTTATCATACATTTGTGTTTTTCGTAATGTTTTTGACAAGGTGCTAAAACCGTTATCAAACAGATAGAAAATGTACAGACATCGTAGTCGAAGGTTATACGGTGAAAAAACCAGAATTGTCAATTATTTTTCAAACTGAGAAAAACGTGTTTATTATTTTTAAACGTAACAATTTTTTTTATCACGCATTAAAAATTTCTTATCAGGTTAACGCTAAACTTTGAAATGTAGTCACCACAACACAATAATGTCGTATCAAATTATTAACACTTGTCTGGTTATCGATTGCAGACTTACCTGATTTTATTACTTATTACTTTGGGCTAAACTAGTTTTTTCGCCGGTTCTATCGCATAAAATATACGGTACGTCAATAAAAATAATTGAGGAAAAATTTACAATAATACGCTTCAGTGAATCCAAACATTCTCCGCCATTATCTAATAACTTTTGAACACTGTAAAAAAAAAAAAACAAAAATTTCTTATTGATTATACGTAGTCGTGTGGGGTGAATAATTTTCAAACACAACACGATAGTTGACATTGGGTGAAAATTCAGAGTTGCCGCGTCCATAAAACAAGTTCTGATTTGTCGAAAAATATTGGTAAACAACAGCTCTATAATACTTGACCTAACCTAACGACGTCTATATTCGAGCCAAGAGATTATTTAACACGCGATACCGATTGAAAAAATACTTCGCGCAATAACACTAACAGTTATTTCCATTGTCGAGCGATGGTTTCGTTGACTTTCGTCATTTATTGTTCAGCAGGACCTTTTAAATATATGCATGTATGTGTATCATTTTATAGCATCAGTTACGGTCGTTGTAAGATCACTAATCCATAACGTCAAACTAAACAATAACGTTTAAAGAGCTCGACTTTAGTAGCATTAATATTATTTTTTTTTTTTTTTCAAAGCTAAAATAACTCTCACTTGTTCGTTGGTGTCGACATTACAACACGCGTTTCTTTTATTTTACAAGGTCCAGGACGAGATGGATCCGGGAGACGGGTCCTTGATGCTCATCTATTCGATACGGGTCGGTTTTTAATTGTGTATCAGTTAGACGCGGATTTCCAGTGTCTGGTGTGACTTTCAAATGGAAATTATGTGATATGATAAAATAACAGAATACGAACATATTTTTTTTAATGAGCGCAGCAGGTAGCAGCAGGTTCGATTAAATAATATCGCGCGAATCTTGTTAAAATTCGGTTTTTTTTCTTTTCGCACGACTGTTTTTCATATTCTGCGGTGTGCAAAATATTGACCACGTTGTTCGAAAATTTCTAGTAACGATGTATTTATAGGGGCACAGTAGGGATGGCGTTTAATCGCAATTTTAAAAAAATAATAATGCATAAATATAAGATGACGTCATCGTATGCTTGTATAATTATTCGATTGTAAAATTCTTCAGTTGTTAGTGACTATTTTATGTTGCATAAAAATAATAATAATAATAATAATTGATAGTAGTGTTTATTATCGTGTTCCTAATAAAAATATATATTTACATCTTTTGTCTTTGATCTGATTATCCTTTATTATTGTTATTATTATTCGATAGAACAAAATTACATTTTAGTTTTTAATAATTCAATTAAAACGTCTTCGTATAAATTGTACACATTTATTGTTTGTTTGTTTTTTTTTTTTATTACTTTTATTTTTTTGTAACTCTCAGTTGCGTATTAAAAAATGCTACCGCTGGTTTTGTTTTAAAACCGAACGGTTCTCTATACAATTCTACACAGGCCGATTGCCAAACATTATGGTGTCGGCGTGTTAGACAATTTGTTTCTTTTTCAATTAAATATTTCCATACTATCGACTGTAATGAATACCTATTTAATTATGCTACCGTCTTACAATTTATACTTACACGGATACCTTCGGCACGTTTAAAAAAACAACTTTCCGCGATACCGCGGATTTAATTTCATAAAATTTAACAACATTGTATAGTTTTATTGTGACTACAGTATATGGTTATCTTCGTTATAATTATTATGCTCTCGGAAGTTTTCCGCGATTTTCGTATAGATACTACGGATTTTTTTTTTTACATTTTTCGGTATCTTCGGCCGGCAGCTATAATATAATAATATTATGTGCCCGCGAGTTTCTAGCGATGTTCAGTAGCTTGTATTTTTCAGAAAACGGGCTATAACGGTCCCGTTAAATTAACATAATACACTGCATCGTCTTGCGTATCTATATTATAACTTAAAAATCAAACCTTGTACGTAAAGTGAATTAAAAACAAAAATCTCCTCATTTAAAACCAATTAAATACTACTAAAGACCGCCAGATAGTTTGAACCTATTAACGTTATTATAGTGCTAACATTTTTTTTGTTTTTTGTAATTTAGTTTAATCGTTGTATGCAACGGCTTTCCCCCTTAATGCACCTATGCTTTTATCTCTTTATTTAGGAAAATTGAAATTAATACGGTGTTTGATACTAATTAATTTACGAATCGGTGGTTATTATAAAAAGGAACTAAACAATTTTTTACTATTATTAAAGTAACCGAAATCCCAATACGTTCCTATTTTTTTTTCGTTTGAAAAAACTTTGCAGCTAATTGAGTTTTCGGATAGATCGTATGTTTTAAATTCCGAGTGTAGCAAAGGTCACTTTTTGATTTTCCCAGGAGTTTTCCCAATAAATGGGAAAAACATGGTGAAAGCCGGAAAAATAGAAACAATACCAAACTAATATTATTTAAGAAAATATATGCGATTCATATAATGTTAATATTTTATCATAATGTGGCATATATATTGTTGGCAAAGCAACACTATTAACCAAACTCCGCTCAGAATCATGTTTTTGTCAGTAGTGCAACAAAAAAAATTCTGGCAGTACAAATCGCATGCCAGTTATCGTAATCAATTATTTTTCTCAGCGTGTGTTGAAATCCCGACCATAATTAAACGACAAGGTACGCACTTTTTTCGCGAACGCCAAAACTTGATCAACGCGCATAAAATTGTAAGTTCGTAAAACTGCGCGTTGACCGCGAGGTTAACGGGTTTCCGCATACGAAATCCTGTCCGTATAAACATGCGGTTTTTTTTCGTAAATAATTTCATAGATGAGTTTATTCACCCCGGACTCGCGCCCAGATATTAAACGGTTTTTGTTTTGTACATTATTTAACGTCTGTATACTTACCGTTTGCACTCTACGTATATAATATAATAATATACGTATAATACTGTTGCACGTTTTTATATCGGTGTTTACTCGTTTCGCAAGCATACATATATATATATACACACACAAACCATTCGCTGGGACCCCGCGACTTCCTGAACAAACATCACCGTCCATTAGACAAACGGACGCGGAGGTCAGAACGAAGGGCCGAGTATAAAATTATATACGTAGCGAATTCTACTCGAATTTTCCCACTCGTCCGCGTTTAAACGACCGAGCGAAAAGCAATTGTTAGCACTTAAAAACATGCCTGTACGTGCGCAAACGCGCGGCGAGTGCCGTAAGAACCGCGCGAGTGTGAACGTCGAACGATTTCTGCATCCGGCTAAAGTTACGGCCCGTCGATGATTTTTCTTAAACGATAATATACTCGACCCATAGCGAAAACAGAATTTGATACACACCGCCATATCGCTTACTTACCCACGTTAAATAAATATAGAAATTATCTACGGATGTTCATACGATAAACGTGTATTGTATTATTGTCAGATACCTGTATAATTTAGTTTGTTGTTTTTTTTTTTTTTTTTTTTTTTTTTTTACAATTTTAAACGTGCGATTTTACATTCACGCGAACAATATTTATTCAAAAATCACATTGTCGCGAAATTCTTTTCGATTACGAAATTTAGCGTAAAACGAATTATGACAATAATATAATAATCTCGTTATATTGTACTTATACTATTGCATAATTATTGTCAATTTACATTTGAAATTTTTCACCATCAATAACGATTTAAATTTAATTTTAAAACCAACAGTGTTTCTTAACCTTTATGAAGGCCGGGGTTGGGGTTGAGATATTTTTAATAATAAACCCAAATAACGAAGAATTTGTAGAAAAACAATCAAGTAATAATACTTATAAGTAATAGTGCCTATAATATATAATTATGATTGTATTGTATAATTTATCCTTTTTTCATATATTAAATTCTACATGTTCTGCTGTTTAGTGAAAAATAAAAATAAAAAAGAAGTCGGCTATTATTGCTGGGTCAGTAAAATTAGTGGGTAAATCTTGAAAATCTACTAGAGGATAGTGGTATAAAAACACTCGTGAGAAACGAAGCTCTATCGCTATAAATATAAAGAGTCGAATACACTTTTCCTAGCTCATTTCGTGTTATCAGAAATGTTTTTTTTTTTTTATAATAATAAATAACCGAATAGCTGCAATACAATATAATAATTAAAAAAAAAAATAATAATAATTGTGAAATTTGTGTATGAAAATAGTTAAAATTCTTTTGTATCACGTGATAATATTACAATTGCCACTGTCAAACCCTGCAGACATATCCTGTAATAATAAAATGCATTTTAGTCTCTACTTTTGGTGAAAATTCAATAACAGTTTAGGAAACACTTAATAGTTTGGGAAACGAATTGTGGTAACTTTGCACCGCATAACATAAAATATTAATTGGCGAAATGTACTCTTACACGACTTTTTAAAATATACTAACACATAATAATAATTAATTATTAGTGACATTTTCGTGGCGTTTTTTATTTTTCGCCCTACAAAACTTTTACATCACAAAAAAAAAAACTCTTTCCAAACCGAACTTACAGTTTTAATTGATTGACGCGGTTTTTCAAAAATAATTTTTTATTCGTTGAGCCAGATATTTATACATAGTGCCCACTAACACAGTGTGTTGTGTGTTGAATAACTAAACTACATAATTGAATACGGATTGACACGAGACGCGACAGCTAATATTTGCATAGGCGTGGCTAGGTAATTTTTGCAAGGAGGTGCGAAAAAATGCAATGCCCGCACGACACAACACTATTTTACTTAAATCTTTAAAAAAAAAAAAACCAATTACTTTAAAATAGTTTAATCACGCTGTACATTTTTTTAAATCTAAACAATCTAAAAGTTGTTTAATGTCTGATTTTAATTTTAACACTTTAAATCCTTCAATAAGAATTTAAAGAAATCATTGCATACATTTATCAGTTGACAAAGCCATCAATGAATTAGCAACTAAGTCTAGGAAATCAGATTTCGTGTTATAAAAATAACTAACAAAATTTAATATTATATATGCTATTTTATGACATAAAAATGATTATAAAATATTTTAGTTTGTTAAAATATGTATATTATTGGTTTTTACAACTCTTTTAAGTCTGTAGGTATAAATCTTTAAATAAGAAGGCGAAATATTTTATTTGTAACAGGTAATCAATTTTGTTTTAGTAGAACGTATTTTAATCTCAAGTAACGCATTATATATTATAATTTTGGCAATGTAGTGTGTATGTATATGATAATGTATACTATGGATATAATTTAAGGCCACTGATTAGGGAGTTAGGGGGGCAGATAACTGGATAAAATTATATCCTCCCCACAAGACAAATACCTAAATACGCTACTGCTGCGCACCGCCCTATAGCCTACGTCCCACGTCCCTTTATGTAATTTTAATATCCATCAAATGCATTTTAATTCAAATTAAAAAAAAAAACTACCTAAACAATTGCATTAAATAAAATGTACCTTATACCAGCCGCGGAATAATTTCGATTATTTTAATAAGTACGCGAATCACGTCTTAATAATTTCTAAATAATATTTTGACCTGACTTTTTATAATCAAATTATCGACAGAAAATTGTCGATGTTATAATAATAAACTATCTAATAGCTTTTTATGGTATTTTTAGTTGAATATTTCAATCTCATTTTATATTACTAATAGATAAACTTGATTATAATATATATTATGGTCTCCGTATATTCGTATAACTATACAGTATTAAACGAATCAAACTTCTTTTATATCCGTCAGGTCAAAATATTATTATTCTACTAGATTATACTTCACGGCAATTTTGAAGTCTGCGCATTTGAAAACAGCGGGCAAGTAGCGTACTGTCTCATATTAGTTGATTCGTATATAAAAATTACTCGTTAACCTACTTTCATGATTATGACGACGATAAACAAAAATGCACGATAATCAGAATATTTTAACAAAATTAGCGTTCAAAACAGCTATTTCTAAAAAGGAAACATCGGAACACCGAAACAATAATTAGAACGCCTTATCTTAACACAGCTTTTGAAATTTTTTTTAAGATTATGCAGACAAACGGAGAAGTACTCGGGAGTAAACCCCTATGCTATCACTATATATTACTACGCAGATGACGCCGGGTTGTGGGTACTTGAAGAATCAAAAATACAAATAGAAAACAAAACTAATCAATAAGGCTAGTTAGGTTACCTAGTCAAAGGGCAAGCATTTAAATAAACAATGATACAGTCAAGTTTCATGTTCAAGGTTCTTAGACCAAGGATGATAATATGTTGATGAGTAGACGTCCTGCGATGTTATTGCGAAACTCCAATATCGGTCGGTTGTATTCTCCTTTGAACTATACATATGGTAGAAAATTTCTAATACTCGGGCGTTGTGCTCAAACTTTGCATACATTATTACTTTTTTTTAAAAAGAGCAAATCGACATTTAAACGAAAAGTATCGTTATTTAAAAAAAAAAAATGAACACATACTTCGCGCACGAAATCGGGATAGTAGAAAGGAAATTTGATACATATCTTTACGCAACGTATATTATAGTTAACGAAAAGAAGTTCGCCTATACATGTTTTGAAAGGCCATAATATTTGCGATTTGAAAATAATACATTTCGTATATTTTTCCGTTTTCCTACGGGTTTTCCCGGTATTTCCCATTAATTATGAAAAACATTGAAAAAATCTAAAAATGACCCACCATTCTAGAAAAAGCACTACACTTAAAAATCGTAGCAAAATTTCTGATAAAAGAGTTGTTCACGAAAAATAAATTAACATTATTTTAAAACCAATATATTCCTCGTTCGCTAAAAATCTAAAAATCTGAGAATATTATTGAAAAAAAATAAAAATAAAAGTCTTATAAACTTTAAAAGTATAATCTAATCTAATTTAATGGACAGATTGAGATTTTTGAAAATTTACAAAAATTGCCTAGCATAAAAAAGGTTGGGAACTACTGCTATAGAGTTCTTAATTGTGTCTTAGTACACGACTTATCATATGCCATCGTCATGATCTTCTTCAATTACTTAGCAAGGTTCTTTTCTCTTTAAATAAGCCTAACACTTCTTCGTATGTCTTCATTCCCGTTCATTTATTTTCTCCATTTTTCACCAACACCCCACATTTCTAAAGCTTCTAGAGTAGTTTCATCTTTTTTGTTCAAAGTTTATATTTTGCTACCATATTATACTCTATACATACGTTTTAATTTAACGAATTTTTTTTGTTCTTAGATCTACATTTTTTGATGTTAGTTATTTACTGTTAAGTATAAGAATGCCCTTTTTCGCTTGCTCTGTTTTAATTTTTATTTCCTATTTTCTTTTCTGGTCTTCTCAAATATTTAAATTGATTTATTTGCTCTATTCTGTTTCCTTTTATAGATATATTTATAGTTGGTTCATTTTGTTTACTACATATTATTACTCTTGTTTTTACTGTATTTATATTTAATTTGAATGTTTATATCATCCATATCAATAAGTGCTGTTTGTAGATCGTATTCAGGTGTATCGAGCAATATTATATCATCTGTAAATCGTATCATTGATATTAGGATACCTCTTATTATTACTACTATAGTTTTTCTCTTTTAGCTTTTATTTTATATCCATTATCACTTGTTCAACGTAGACATTGAAAAGAGACGGTGAGAGTGAGCATCCTTGTCTTACTTCTCTTTATATAAGCTGTCTTTCTTGTAAAGTTAATTTTAATTTCAGGCTCTTCTAAATCCTTTTATACGATTATAAAATTAATTAATAATTTGTGTAGGAAATAAATTATTGTATAAAATATCGCGTAAATTTTTAAAATAATAATACTATATAATACTGTATGACTACGTAGTGGGTATAATTAATATTATTATTGATGGGCGCAATCTAACAGTCCACTACCGAACTAATCGATAATAATAGTCGATCGCATTCGAACTCTTCGAATAGTTTTTTGAAATATTCGATAGTATTTCCAAATAAAAGTATTCGGTCAAGGGAAAAAAATATTATAGTTCATCCAAACTACCGAGAACCACCGACAAGTTTATAAACTTATAAGTGATCGTTACTAATTATTATTATTGTGCCGTGAACAATAATGAAGATAATTTGTTTTTATTTAATTGATTAGAGTACCTCTAAAATAACCGAAAAAAAAAAAAAATGTTATTTAATAATAATTATACTAGTATATAGCGACGTGTTTTTTAATACGGTTATGGTCATTTTTAAAAGCTTAACGAAAGAAGAAAAACAAATGCTAAAATTCGTTACCCGTATTATAATATAATGATATAAGTATATAAAAGATTTATTTTTTAATTACATAAAAAATGAAAAGGAAAACCATGATTAAACTCGACTTTTATTCAGAACTACCGCGTCAACGACTAACGTAACGTTATTTTGCCGGTCTAATAATTTTTGTTTTTTTTTTTAAATTAAATTAAATTTGTTTAGGTCTTTTAATTAAAAATAACGCAATAAAATTATTATCTATTTCTTGTATCGTAGACTACCAAGACAATTATACTAGTATGCAATAATAATAATGATAAAGACAAAACAGTGTTTTGTAAAGATGCGTTTTTAAATAGGTATCTAGATAATGATGGGAGATGTTTGCAAAATAATATTGTCTATATTAAAATAAAAATATAAAAACGATTAAATTATCTCTAAAAAGATAAAATATAATCCGCATCCAGATAACCTAAATTAACATTTTTTTTTTTTTTACATCATTGTATCAGTGATTAGAGGTGATTAGATAGACCTAACCTCACCCCCCAGCCACCATTGTTTATTGTTCAACTCAATTATTCTAGTACATACATGCGGACTTAGTCTCTCTTGTGTTTAGCCTTTGGTCTACAATAAACTTAATTAAAAACAAAAAAAAAAACTTAATATTGTGTCTTCTGGGTTCAGTCCGTATTCTCGGGCCGGCATCCATCCGCCGCCCTGGACATCTCGTTCCACCTCTCCTCTGGTCCGCTCTTCAATCTAACCTAACCTAACCCTATATCCATCATAAAACTTAGTTGTAAAATTACCTCTAGTAAAACAGTACCAGATTTGGTAGAAATCTAGATTTCAAAAATTATGTCGTGTGATTCAGTAATTGTATACATTTATAATTTACGATTCACCAAGATTTATCTATGGGTTATTTTAGAACTGTTCAATTATTTCTTTCGGATAATGGTTCGAATGACTTACGTCAAATTTATTGAGATTACATAAAAAATATAAACACATAGCTATCTAGATAATATAAGATTTGATCAAGACAAAACACAACACTGATCCTACATATGCAGCCCGTGAAAATATCCCTCTTTCCTACAGGCCAGGAACAGTTCAAACGGTGGAAGGGGGGGGGGTAAGGAGGGTTGATCTCCACCATTCCACTTCTACTAATAACTATTATATTTCATTGTATTGTATACAATACAAACAAATTATGTTAATAACAATAATTAAAGGAGGGTATTTTTTATTTCAAATAGTAATACATTTTTGTTTCCATAGTAAACAATTCGGATTAAGTTAAATGTTTAATCCTCAAACGTAATAAACAGAATTAAATTCTGTTTGAATCACACAATTATTACACAATTGGGTTGAAATATAAATACAGAACAATCGTCTGTACACTAAACCGTAGACATAAAAGTGAATTTACTGATAATTTCTCTGTATACTCGTCTTATCCCCCGCCCATGACGAAATCGTTTGATCGCCGCTGCTGTAGGAAAAGAAAAGAAAAATGTCAACGTGCCATGATACGCGTATGAGTGTAATAATTGCGATTAAAAAAAATAATGTGTATGGGGTAAAAAAAATTAACCGACAGTTGAAACCGTGTAAAGAGATTTAATTCGACGGTCGCGCGGCGGAAGTGAAATTTACCGAGATAACCTAAATTCGTTTTATACCTGTGGCAAATGTGTTTAAAATAATGACGAGCTAAAAAATAAATACGCGTTTACGTAACTTCAAAATGTAATACGTCGCATCGCGTATAATAATATGCTCGTTGCAATTATTATGTTACACGCGGAAATTATGTTATCAATGTTTTTCGATAATAATAATAATTACGTGAAATAATGTTAAAGCGTATTGCTATAATCACACAACTCCGCATCGCACGGTGCCAATCCACACCATTTTATTTTTACGCGATATGTTTGCAGTTTTACGGATTTCGCCGTTCGCGAGCAAACTCATATACAGTAGGCACCTACAGGTGCGATGCGACATAAATCCGGATTTCAGGTTTTAGACAATCAATAGATAGAACGAGAACTATGGATTTGGGACTTGGAAATACAAGACATTACGGTTTCAGATTTCAAAATTCGTGTTGTTAATTTTTTTCTTAATCTAATCGATTATGCGGACTACAAAGTGGCCCACAAATAGAGCACACATTGCCTATATCTCGTGAAACAAAAAAAATCAATCAAATTCTGTTTTTTTTTTGTCTTTTTTTTACATTAATCATAGAGATAAGGACTACAGATATTTATATTTGTATGTTATACTTGTTATACGTAATCTTCTTCTTTTTATTTTTACTTTCAGCTGTACAGGTAATCTGCAGCGTTAAATATTTCTTTCCGTCTGTCCTGTACCAATGTCAACTCCTCGTAGTTTCATAATACGCCTAAATTTTCCAAATATTTCTTAACTTTGTCTAGTTACCTTTGTAGAGGTCACCCCAGGAATTTTTCGTTGAAAATCTATAATTTCTATCGTTTATTTTCAAATCGCGTTACCTAATTTTTTTTTTTAGTTTATTTCTTAGTTTGCCTTTTCCGTAGCAACCGGAAGAATACTAACCTAAACATCGTGGTGCAAACAACAGTTATTGAAAAATAATATTTTTAAAATAGTTTCAATTTTATTTTCGCAATAACAAATATCACAATCGTAATTAATGGCATCCACATTAAAAGCCTTCGATGATGGTCTGCATGACACCTCGCAACCGTGGCACAAGATATTCGATTGGGCCGAAGCCCGGAGTGGAGTGCACCGGCTGAAACTATTTGGATTCATCGTGATCACGATGGCCGGTTTTATGGTGTCTGGTTACGGATCGGCGGTTCTGAGCAACATCGTCGGATTCTCGTATCCCGCGTACACCAGCGTGAAGATGGCTCGGTTGGCCCCGCAGAACACGATGACGGACGAATCAAACAAGACGGACAAGAGCACCATGGCGCCGAACTCGTCCAGATGGCTCACTTATTGGCTGGTATTCTCGACCGTCTTGATAATCGAACAAGCGTTCGGATGGGTCCTCCGGATTTTGCCGTTCTATTACATAATCAAGACATTGTTCCTGATATGGTGTTTCGTAAATATCGGTGCGAATGGCGCCGAGTACATGTACGCGTCCATCATACGCCGTTATTTCGGTAAATTTTTCTCCGACACCCCGGACAATCCCAGTTCGTAGGGTGTGGCGCCCAGTACCAGGGCGATCGCACGTGCATAGGCGCCCGCAAACATTTGTCTATAATCGGGAAGTGGCGAGCAGTATAAAACATAACGTAGCATTTTACAGGGTAGAATAAAAAAAGTCAATATATGTGGTTTAAAGATAATACTTTTTTGTTTTTCATACTCCAAAAATTGACGTTTATTGGTTATGACTAACACAAGATTTTATGGTATAATTTCGTTATAAAATTGTGCACCCGTTTGAATGGTGAAACATTTTAATGTTATATTGACATTAAAATGTTAATTTTTGATTAGTCAACCATTACCTGTGCCTCAGTGGGGTTGTAGTTTTATGAATATACTATCCTTGATATTAAAATAACCCAAAACTTTACAGCAATATTATTGTAGTACTATACATTTAATATATAAAAGTTCCTTATACATTATTTGTAAAATTTATGGTTTTCCGTCAATTAAAATAAAAAAAACGATCAAAGTTAACGTTTTAGAAAATTATATTAGTTTTAAACTTTAATTTCTTAAATTTTAAAGTTGCACGAAAATCGTACATAAATTCGATTGTAAATTATAAAATTCCTTAAAAAACAGGTTTCTCGATGATCATTTAAACATTATCCTTCTTTTTGTAAAAATCAAAAAAAACCAAAATTATGAGTATTTTAGATTCTGAGTGAAGTGAAGATTGTATTAGATTTACAATGACATGTATTTTATTTTATTTCTTTATCTATACACAACTATTAGCAATTTTGCTTCGATCTACAATAATAGTATTTTTTTTAAAGAAAATCTAACTAGAAACATGTAGCTTATACAAACTTTTTGTCTTTGTAAAATTGAAAACTATTTATTCTCTTCAAAATTAATTATAGGTATTTAAAGCATTTTCATTGGTAATATCAATCGAGTCGAATAAAGTTAGGTAAAAAAAATGCCAAATTAAAATGTCCATAAATAGCTCGAAAATGGATTAAAGTTTTTAAAAAATTTTACCATGTGTAGAAAAAATAAATTTAAATTTGCTGTTTCTACAAATATTTTTAATTGAATTGTAAACAAAAAAAAACTAAATTGAAAATTATAAAAACATTATTATCGTAAATGTTACCGTTCTTTCTTCGTTTTTGTTTTTTTTTTGTTTTTAATTAATTATGTCAAAAACCACTTTGAAAATCTAAATACGAATTAATTACTTACTTACCAACTATACTTAAAATTCAACAAAAAAGATCTTAAAACGTTTTTCTATTGATGCAATTTTTTATGGTAGAAAACTTAAGCCTTACAAATTTAAATTATGAAATTTGTATTTTTTACCTTTTTCTAATTTTTCTAATTATTACTAATGAAAAATACTTTGATAATCAAAAAATTACTTTCTTTGTGCACATCTAGATCCAGACTATAACAAAAAAAAAAAAAGGTTAATTCGCATTTTTTGATTAATGCAATATTTCTAGTAAAAACACAGTTTGCAGGCATTTAATGAAGTCTTAAGGCACGTCGTTAATATTTGCACAAAAAGCATAATGGCATTCGAATTTAATTCAAATATAAATACATATTTGTAGTTTTTATCCCTGGGAGTAATATATAAAATAACAAAATTTCATTATCTTCACTACCTCAGGAAGTATATTTTCGTAGAATAGCGCCTGTATATTGAATATAAAAAACGCATGAAACAAATTCTGATAAAAAATGTTTGCATATTTGCATTAACTGACATGGTAATATTTATCTTTAATATAGTTAGAATTAATATAACAAAAAATACGATAACAAGAATAACAGCAGAGTCAAAGTTTAATAAAAAAAACCCAACCCGCGAGCGAGTCCCTGACAGGTAGACGAGAGAAGGCGGATTATCTGTATTTGCATCACGTAACACACCATTGAAGTATGGAAATTGCATTCTCCTCCCCTTCCCCCCCCCGTTATCATGTGTTACGCGGATTTTGTATGAGATCGACGAATATCGATGGGGTCGAATTAAATTAAACTTAAGTTTATCGGTTTGAAAAAAGAAAATCCCAGTTAATTAAAACGTCGCCGTCGCGAATATAATTTTCAATTAAAATAATAATTCAAATTAACGGGGCTCGTCCAATTATCCAATTCGCCCGACCCTAGACAATCCGATTGACTAGAGTTGTCTATATAATAATAAACTCTCGAGATCTAATTTCGAAAAACAATTGGTTCGTTCTCCACCCGCCTTTCGGCTGCCGTCCCGTAGAATTTACCCCTAAGACGCCACTGCCGGCATGTACGGCGCGCAATATTATTTTAAATTGGAAAAAAATAAATAAATAAATACACGGTAGGCTATAATCTGTTTACCGCGGCCGATCCATCGTAATACGCGAAACAACATAAAAACTAGCGAAACGATTTCTGGGCCAAAGTATTATAGAAAAACAACACGGCGAAATTCGAACTCGCGGCGTGCATCTCTCGTACGCGCGCACGCTATTCTTCAACTAATGTATTTGTTTGAGCCCATAATAATTTCGACTCTTGGCGCAACTGGAACGATTCACATCGTTCCCATTGACTTTTGAACGACGACGTGCACAACAATAAAATAATAATAATAATAATAATAAATCGTCTGTGCAGTCGCCTTGTCGTCTCGGACATTTGTGAAACGAATGGGATTACTATACCTATACATACCGAAAAAAACTTTTTTTTCCCCCTCGTTTCATCACATTTTGTTGTCGTTGTTATGTAGGTTTTAAAGTAAACAATAAAAATTGTCAATATAAAATATTTTACGAGGTCCGTTGCTCGATCGAAATGGAAAAAAAAATGACGATAATCCACTATATAATATTATGTTTATAATACTATTTTCCGATTAAAATATTATATAGTAAACCAAAACCATAAAATGACCGCGAAATCGTGGGAGAGAAAAAAAATTTTGATTTTTGCAATGACGGTCTCGTTATTAAAGCTTTTTCTCTCTCCTAATTTTGACAGAGACGTTTTTTTCTTTCTTAAAAAATTGTTCTGTTTTTTTTTTTGTAGAGATCTACTAAGAATATATTTTTTTCTTTGAAGATCGACGTCCATCATAAAAGAAAAAAATATGTATAACAATTAATTAGGAATAAACATACATGTACAAATAATACAACTGAAATGTGTAGTAAAATTATGTTTTTCATCGCACTTTTATTAGGACTCTAATATAATAATATTATAAATTGCGTATACCAAAAATACAATATTGACAGCATAAAAAATATCTGACTGTGTTACTTAATAAGCTAAAACGAAAAACAAATGATCTAATAAGATGAAAATGATCGGTAATTGAGATTTAACTACGTCTATTAATTGTATACAAATAAATTATAACAAAAAGATATCGACATTGGAATCGTCTGCGATCTACGGGTTGATCGTGATGGTCCGTTTGACCGCTCCTGGTATACACTGATGCTCATTTCGATTTGACCTTTGAAAACTCGTGCAGCATATGACATGCTGCACGAGTTTATAGAAATCGCATTAATATATAGACCCATAAATCATGACTAAAAATCGTTGTAAAATAAAAACCATGTTTCACACATTTAAAAATTAATTCATGATTATTGGTCATACATATTTTGAAAAGTCGTAATACTTACGATTTGAAAATAATATGTTTCGTTAATTTTCCCGATTTTTTTACGCGTGCTCATTTATTATGCAAACACCTGGGCAAAACAAAAAAGTGACTTCCCTGAAAATACCATCGCAGGAAAATTTCCTTTTGGAAAAAGTGCTACACTTGAATAACAGAACGAGATTTCTGGTAGAAAAATTGTTCACAGATAAAAATAAATAAACATTGTAAAACCAATACATTCCTCGTTCCGTTCAGAATCTAAAATCAATGAAAGTTTGTATACCATATTGCATATTGGTAATATGTCCTAATATGCTCTTATTTAACCATGTGCACGAGCACAGGGCACTACCCTTCTCCCCCTCCCAAAAAAAAATTAAAAAAAGATAATAAAATATAAATCGATAATTTAAAAATATTTCCGGTAAACATACGATTAAGTATCTAATAAGTCATTATTATGGAACAAAATGTAAACATATTTTTTTAATTATGCATGGTGTGTATCATTTTTTGCAATTAAATGTGTTCTTCTTTAGCACGCAATAAAAGCTGAATTTTTAGTCATTATTTTGTCTAATCAATCGTAATATTACATTGCAATTTAGTTGAAATTTTTTTTAAAAGGCCCCCAAAGTAAGTATAAATAATACACAGAGCTTCTATTCCTTTAAACCGTCTATATAGTATACTGTTCGATGAAATAATATAATAATACCCGATCTCCTATTTCGACATTTTGCGATTCGGAAATTCAATTAAAATCTGCAACCTAACCTACTTACTTGCTTATAATACGTATGATTACGATTGTCGTCGGAGAGATTTCGCGTAGATTCTTCGTATGACAGTATCACGGTAACAGGTCTGTGTTGTTTAAATAATGCGATTTAACAGTATAAATCAATTATACGAGATTTAATTTTGTAAACGAACCCGCGTAAGGATATTATTCAAAATATAGTGATAATAATATAATAAGCACCGGTATTAGATCGGTATACCTACACCGAAATTTAATATTACGCCCGAATCCCGGACCGACGCATAAGATATTAATATTATTTTATCCTTGTATCGTCATCGTTTCTGGGGACCATTTACCAAAATCCCGGCGCTGCTGAAATCAACTAGATTAATAAACTCAATAATATTTCGGTTTTGAGCCCGTTTTGCAGACCAACATGATTGTAAATTTACATGGTCCGTTAACATTGAATGATTGTAAATGATAACGGAAAACTACTGTGAATAATAAAGGTTCCACAAATTTCATCATCACTTACATTTTCAGTGATAAGCTGACATTTTATCCAATTCATTGTTTTATTATCTACGGGCGCTGTCCCGTTTGCAATATTTCGTTATTACGACGAATATAGGTAGTTTATTATAAATGTCGATTTTGTTAAATTTTGTTCAAATAATAATACAATGTTGATCGGTGTCAGAAAACCACATATATATATATACGCATTACGTATCTATACTAAATAATTTTTAATTTTCAAAAAAATTACCGATAACTGGTGTCTGTAACCAAAAATCAACAAATAATAAACAATGAAAACAGCACCCATCATTTTCTATACTATAAAACATCCCCTCCCTTCGTAATTTTCAAAATATTCACCTCGCCACTTACAAGACTCGTAACGAACCGCGCCACTGTGCATAATAATTTACCTATATTTTACGATGGGTTTTTAAGCGCGGACTGTGTGCGTTCGTTCCATTAAATTAACGGCAAAAATTAGAACGAGACCCTAAACTAATAGAAAAAAAAGGGCTATTTTAAGGCACAAAAAAAAAAAAAAAGAAACGCCACCCGTACTTTATATATTTTATTAGACATAATATAAATAGACTTGTCCCTGCGGTGTAGACCGAATATCGAAAACGATACAATAATAATAATATACAGAATGATCCATTTATGGATACGTGAACCAGCGGTTATCTCGGAGGATTTTAATTGAATTCGATTTCGTTCAAACATTTTATGCGTTCAAACATGTTTATTCCTTAAAAGACATCAATGATTTATGAAATATTCATTATAAAATACATATAGACCTGAGGAGTAGGAAATGGTATTACATTTCATAATATCAACTTTTAGTTGGTAAATGTATAACTTATCGGGTCTGAAATTTAAGCTATTATACTCATATACTATATGTCCAATTTGAGTATTATGCATATTGTTACAGGAAAACATTCTCTGTTCAAATCTGTGATTAAAATTGGGGGGGGGAGATTAAATATTTAAAAATTCTTAAGTATATAATCATTTCAGGTATAAGTAATAGAGGGTAAAACCGAAGATAATATTAAAATATAGCTTGAACGAGTCCATAAGGACTAATAACAGAACAAAAAATACGGACATACTTCGCACGATTGGTGGGCCACTGTTGTAGATGAAAAGTTAGGATGGTAAAATATAAAATTTATATGCCACGATAAACCCTTGCTAATGAAAAACAATTTGGAGCAAAGTTTTTTTTTTTATACGATTACGTACATTTTCCAGTTTTTCCTAAGTTTTCCCCAATCATTATGAAAACCGTTCAGAAAATGTAAAAAACGACCTCCTTAAAGTACCACTCAGATTTCCTTTCAGTGAAGGTACTACAATTGAAAATCGAAGTAAGATTTCTGGTAGAAAAGTTGTTTACAGATAAAAAAAAAAAAAAAATCATAATTGTAAAACCAATACCTCGCAACGTTCTAAAGGTCTAAAAAAAAGCGAAAATCAAATTCACTTAAAATCTTCCGAGAAAGTCACTGGTTCATATTATTATGATAAACAGATCACCCTGTATTATATCGTTTGGAAGGTGCGAAAGGTCGCTCTAGTGTTTCAAAACGAAAGCATTACTCGTGCATAGAAACTGTTTTATATTCGAGTTTTTATATTTAAGACGTTTGAAATGGTTTTATTTTAATTAGATCGTGTTTCGGACCAAATTCAGGGAAAATAATTTATTTTAATTGCCAGTGTAGAATTTAATTTGTTTTATCGTCCCTTTCTTTCGCGCGCGGACACTTTGTCGCTTAATTTACCGCCCGAAAGACACCCGTCACTCTTTATCTATATATGCGAAAAAATCCCATTTGTCTCGTGGTTCTCGTGGACGAGAAGACGGTATGGCAGGCTGAGTGTACCGAGTCGGTATAAATATATATTTCGTATACCGACTGTCGGGCGCGATAGTTTGTTTAAGTGTACCCACTTTCGACAGGAATCCCCGTTACGTCTTCCTTTGCCGTTATAACATAGTAATTATCTGCCACGCTTATATTGTTCTAATTATTCAAAGTTCTCGACTATAGCGATTTCCGACGGACATAGTACATGCAGACTGATATCCACGGAAAGGGAGAGTGTAGAGTATGGCATCTATACCCTTTGCGAGATCAAGTGGTCGCTGCTAGTACTGAATTACTCATAATATTCTATGACTAACACCCTGTTAGTCGAATTTTGATACCTCATTTTAATTTTTCGATTGACTTGAGAGAAATTCCGAACAAAAAAATACTATATTATTAACCTTAAAATCTTTGTCAACGCCTAAGTGTTATTAGGTAATATAACCTGCAGGTTATATTATTCGGTTGGACAAAATTACAGTTTTGTACTACAGTGTGTTTCAAAATGATTCGTTCGATTTTAGCAGACTATAAATATTGTTTCTGTAGTTAGTGGTAAACGAAGCATCAACCATATGAATAGTTTCGATAATGTGCTTCTTTGCCGAATGACGTGATCTAATTATTTGTTAACGTAATGTTGACCGAGCAAAAAAGTTTCCGGCCACATTTCGAAAAAGTATAAATCTTACCAGACCATACAATCTGTGGTTTTTTTCTATGGAGTTACATAAAAAGCAATGTTTTTGTACCTCTCTTTCCAAAAGATCTTGATGAATTGAAAATTCGTATTACGGATGCTATCAGCTTGATTACAGTCAACATGCTTCAACAGGTTTATAAGGAATTTGAATATTGCTTAGATGTATATCGTGCAAGTAAGGGAAGTCACATTGAACATTTGTGAATAGTATACCTAAAACTTAATGTAATCGACCAACTTGTAAAACCTATCGTAATCTGATTATTCAAATTTTGCAATAAATATAATTTTTTTGAAATCGGATGAATCATTTTGAAACACGCTGTATATAGTGCCTTTCAGAAATGGATAAAATTACTAAATTTTGCTTTAATAAGAATCAAAACGAATTAACTTATCCACAGTATACAAAGATTTAATTTTATAACTGCCTTAACTAATTTAAAACCTATTTTGATTTAAATTAACATGGTTAGTGAAATGTTACAAACACCATACTAGATATCTTAGAAAACGTATCAATTGTTAAAAATATCAAAGAAATCTTTAACTGACCTAAAGAACTGACGAAGACAATTATTCAAAGACATATGACAAAGTTTTGGACATTTGTCGGAAACAAGAAATATAGATGCAAAATGAAAATTGTCAAATTGAGTGGATAGCAACAATACTCAATAAGTTATTTCAGAAAAAAAACACCAGAATGGAATGTTTTGTGTATTATACCGTTTTAGATGAAGTTTCAAACAGATTAGTTTTAGCCAAGAAACACTTTCATTTATAAGTATAATAAGGACTTTTATTATATTAATTGAATATAATTAAATAAGACTTAACTTTACTTTCCAAATTCTTTAACTTTAATTACAGTGAACTAAATGCAGTTATTCAGAATGCTAAAATGATTTCTGGAATTACGAATAAAACTCCTCATCAATGGTTAAATAAATTGTCTACTAGTAACTTTAAATATTAACTCTATTTGTGTATTCTATAACTCTGATAACTGTCACAAGTTACTCCTGTGAAAGATCATTTTTTAAATTAATTCCGGTAAAAACTAAACTCAAAGCTGGATGACGTAAGATCGATTAGAGTAAATGACGTTAGTATTATTGTCAAATAAGAACTGTCAATTGAATCGGATATAAAAGATATCATTGAAGAGTTTAAAAATCTGAACAATACTCAACGTCGACATGAACTTAATAATTTTCAATTTAATAACAATAACTAACTTATTATTTATACATGTTTTTATTTCTATTTTTTTTTTTTTTTTTTCATTAGATTTACCTATTCAGTATAATATAATACATTGAGAAAATTAAATAAAATTATTTTTTTATTAAAATTTCGCTAGGCACGTTTAGCATAAGTTACCTTTGGGTGTTTATGAATTAGGTTGGTTTATGGTTCGTTTTGCACCTCCTGCAAAGAAGGTCCTGACACGCCTATATAAATGTCTATATGGATTTATAAACACGACGACGAACACTTGGTTTATAAATTATTAAAATTTCTAATTTGTGTTGTTTCAAACGTCCCGACTTTTCTGAGCGTACAGTGATACTTTGATATTACGGGCACGCTCGAATCCCCTACCGTTCGCCACTCGAATAGACCGCGCAAAAATCACCTCCTTATTTTATAGAACAGACATAATTTACCGTATCCCGCATCGCAGGTACACGCAATTTTTTCAACCCGAATAATAAATACATTCGATAGCTATAGGTACCTTTAAATAAATCTGAAAAAAAAGAAATGTGAGAGTGGGACTCGGAGGATTGTTACTGCGGTTGATTATTATCGTGACTAAATGAACAGGTATGTCAGCAAGACGTGTGCATTCTGAAACTGACTTCACATCAGGAGTAAATCGAGGCACAATGAGTTATTTCATGGAAAAATAAACTATGGCCGTGGTTTAGTCTTTAGTATATAAATGTTATTTTGCTTATCCAATATCATAAAAAAAATAAGCAATTGAATATTAAAATGTATAGTGAGGGCGGAAAATTGTTTTGGTTTCGCAAAATAAACCTGATTATAAATGGCATGGTGGAAGGAAACGTTGGCCTGATTAAAATGTTCGCGTTCATATTGAAAAACTAAAATGACGCCCCCAGTAATATGAAATGAAACGAATCATAAGCATTAGCTTTTCGTTGCGTGACAGTCGTTATTTGCAATCACGGATCACATATATAAATGCATACGGGAACCGTTCAAAATCCTAGTTATATTTTTTTTTTATTACCAATTTTCAACACTACGAAACTGCATAACGACTAATATACACAATGTGGACACTTTACGTTAATTACGATTAGTTATGCTGGTAAATATCAACTAAAACTTGAGAAAATCGTTAACTATTAGCATCTCGATCGTATTTTATACGACCGGGATACCGTTCAGAAATACCCGGGTAGCGATTTCTTTAAAAAAAAAAATTTAAAAAAAACTTACTGCCTGGATTCGGGTAGGCGATTCGAGTGCATCGAACCTATGGACCTATTACAATAAAAACAATAACAACAAAAACAGCGCCGTGTTACTTTTTCATTTCGGTTCATTTGTACGGGGTTGTTCACGTGATATTGGAACGTGCTTTAAAACTGCGTAATTTATAAATAACGAACTACCGATACATTTTCTCTATACGAGTACCGTTGTTCGAACAATAACGCCGCGACGGGAAACCGTCGTCGTCGTTGGCAAATATAACGGATTTTCTATAAGGCTGTGCGTGTAGCAATAAACGGAACGAAAAAAAAAAAAAAACAAAAATGATTGTAACGTCGTTATGTCGTAACAGTGTAAAATGGACTCGTATCGCGTTCGTCGGACGTTTTGATAAATTTCGAGAGGCCGATGGTTCGCTATTACCGACTATCACACGCCGTATATATATAGACGCGTAATAACATTGGCAGGAAATCGTTTTGGAATAACGTAATATGGGGGGTAATCATTTCCCGTGCTCCCCCGCGGGCAAAGACAATGGGAAAGGAAAAACTTCACGTTTTCGAATCGGCCAAAAAAAATACAAGAATTATTGTTCGGCGACACCGGAAATATACTGTATTATTGTGTATACAAATAAATAGACTAGTGTTCACGTCGTCGGCAATACACAGGGCGTTTATGGTGAAAACGTGCCCGTTTCACTCGGCGGGCCGGTGTCCCGGTATCGACATTTTCAGACGTGATTATTCCGGATCAACAAGCTAGAAAACTTTTTAAGTATTCGGAATATTTTCGAAATACTTTTTGTGTAAATAATATTCGTATATCTACATGTAAATTATTCTGAATACCATATTTTGCACGAGTATTTTGTTCTGAAGACTTTTAAAAAGTATGTTACCCGTGTGGACATTGTTTCTGCGTTCAAACGCAGGGCTTTAAAAAAAAAATAATAATAATAACATTTCCCTCTTAGAATATTTTTACGAGTTCGAAAATTAATATTCCACGATATTTCGGAAAAATGTTCGTACGAATCGATATGCACATTGTTTTTACAAATTTTCGCATCGTTTTGACGTTAAGAGCCTAATGTCACCAAAATAAAAAAAAAAAGAAAAGTGATGTACCAAACACATATCTATTTGTGAAAGAAAATAAACGAAGGGAATATCATGGTATTGCCATACTGGTAAACGGATAAAATTCTTTTGAAAGTAAACGCGCCCTGTCATTGTTTTTGTTTATTTTATTTTTAATTTCATTTAGGACGACATTTACGGGCTTTTAAACGTCAAAACCGCGCGGAAATGTGCAAATATGATGTGACGTATGACTTATCGATTAATACTTTACGGGTAAATGCCATGGAATATTTATTTTGAATAATGCACGTAAATATTCTAAGAGTAAATAGAGACAGAAAAAAAAAAATGATAAAAATTTCGTTATTTGGTCACCCAGCCGAGTTTCGTGAATCGGTTTTTTTGTTTGTTTTCAACTTCTCTAAATTCTTCCGTTTTTTTTTTTTTTTATATAAAATTAAAATATTTTCGTTAATTTTGATTTATGGACGTTAAAAAAATTATTATCATTATTCACACTTACGAAATCTATTTGAGCAATATAATTCTTAGACGTTTTTGTTTATGTTTATTTTTTTTTTTTTTTCCCCAAGACGAGTAAATGTTTTTGACGGTAGCCAGCGTATTGTAATATATAATTTGATTAATTAAATTAAACTCGAAAGAGCATTTATTACTATTACGAAATAAGATATTAAAATATTTTAATTGAAAAAAAAAAAAGAAAAAAAAACGTTGGTGTTTTAAAAATTGCGTTTTTTCATTCGACAGAACGTATCATATGAAATAAAACAGATTTCTTTAAAAAATAAAAAGTAATAAATAAATAAACAAAGTTCAAGTTAAAATAATCTGAATCTTCCCCGACGTCATATTATTACCGTTCCCCGGATGTTCTTTTATACACCACCGATTCCCGGTGCCATAATACGCGACACTATATAGCAATACAAGTATACGTTTTAAATACGGTCGTCGGTGTTTTTATATTATTAAATATGTTTATATATATATTTTTTTTTGTAAAAAAACATATTGTACAACAAGATACGCGTGTTTAAAATGTTTAATAAGATGCGAATATTACTATAGGAAAATAAAAACAACGAAATGTGAAACGACCGTGTCGAAATTTAAATACTTATTTTTTTCTAAATGCAGGCCATTAAGGTCGTTTGCGTGCTTCCACCTAGTTCCTTCGTCCATTTCGGCCCATTTCGTCATCCAATCGTTTTGAGTTGTCGGTATTTAGAGTATCCTTCTTTACCCCGTCTAACCATGTCTGGCGAGGTTTTTTGAGTTTTTGATTAAGACATTTCTTGTGAGATTTTCGACAGCTCTCCAAACGCGACCAAATGTTTTGCCTTCGGGAATAATCTAATATTCGGCTTGTAATTCAATTACTATTTACGTTTTACTATTGATTTTAATTATTTTGAATTTACTCTATTTAAATACTTGTTACGTTTAGAAAAAAAAAAAAAATAAAATAAATACCAACATGACATCTGATGATTATTATTTTTGTCATCGCGTTAAGTAATTCCCACGCGCGTTTCGTTTCGCCGGAATATTCCCACATACAGTGGCGGCGCGAAGGAAGTATATTTCAAACACGCAGTTCACCTAAAAACGAATGGGTGTGTCGTGGGTGTCTGGATACTCAGAAATATAACCACAATTGTTATATTTTTCTACAAAACAAAAAAACATTAAACGAATTTTAGACCGCGGAAATACGATACATTTGTAGCAAGCTGGGGATATTTTCGGGGTTGGAAAATTAAATCGATGATTCAAGGTAAAAAAAATTTCACGTCGCTACTACTGCTATATAGACATTAAATACTGCAAAACCGAAATCTAATCTGGAACCACCCGGTATATACATAGTTTGTCGTTTTTGATTCTGACTGTTTTTTCGTTTTCAGTTTCAGGCTGCCCTGCTTCAGCGATGGAACCTGCCGAAGTTCATGTGCGCATTCTGCCCGTTCATTCACGTACTTTCCATCACGGTTTCCGTGTTCACGTTGACCGCCATTGCTGTGGACCGACGTCAGGCCATACTCAATCCGTTCGCGTGAGTAACATCGTAGTCAATAGAGCAGATTTACTCATTATAGATAGTATGTAGTGCTCGACTCGGGGGAAATGCAGGGAAGATGGAGTACCTGAACTAATTTTTCAAAATATTTAGCATGTATATACATTATTAAAATTATAAAAATTCATAGGTTCATTAAAATTACTAGGTTCGGAAAAAAAAAAAAAATAGTCTTTTTATTTTTACCACTAATTTTGATTACCTCGTGATAAATATTAGGTTAAATTTTCGAGCATTTTTTTTAGTCGAAATAATTTTATCTACAACCAAATAAAAACTAAAAGAACTGATACTGGGGATGAGAGCAGCCATTGTAGTAGGTGAGAAGTTGGGAAGGTAAAATACATAAGAATTTTTCATTTATATTTGTTAATTTATAACGATAAACCACTGCTTACCGAAAGACAATGCCGAGCGCAGATCGGTAATACATAATTTGAAGTAATGTAATTTTTTTTGCGATTTTCGTTTAAATTTGATTTCAAAACGCTTATTAAAAAAAAAAAAAGTCACCCGATGATTTTGAAAATTTTATCACGTCTAGATAAGTCCAATATAATTATTATTACCAAGTTTCAAGTCTCTACGTGTATTTATAACCGAATTACAGTAAAAAAACTCCTAAAAATTAAAATTCCTTAAAAGCTCAAAAGCGGCTAAAAAGTTGCGGCGATGATACCGTCACAAAATTAAATCAAAAAGGCAAAACGAAAAAGTTATCTTGTGATTTTTCTATTAAATAATTTTATCTGATAGAAAACATCGTCGGTGTTTTTAAAATAATTAAATCGTGAAATTATTTGTTTTCCTACGTTTTTTCCCACTTAAGTGTTTTTATTTAATTAAATGATGTTGAAAATCAAAAAAAAAATGACCCGTTTAAAGTACCATCTAGACTAAGCTAAAGACAACTTTAGTTTTCAGAAAAGTCGATACTCTTATACATCGGAGCAAGTTTACTAAGAAAAAACGTGTCCACAGACTAAAACTAAAGAAAAAAAAAATAAACAGCATTGTAAAACCAATAGCACTCTCACTACGCTTGGAATCTAAAATAGCGTTTTAAAACGAATAGCAATCTAAAAATCCGAAAACCTCCAAAATTTCAAATAATTCGAAAAACACAACATTTTTGAAAAATAGATAAATGTCTAAAAAAAAAAAATAATAATAATATGCCAATTAGGTCGAAAAGTTTCCAATGGGAACCGACCCTGACGGAGCAAGTTTTCCGATAAAAATTGTGTTTGTCGACCGTGGGGGAGGGGGGGGGGGTGAGGAAAAAAAAACACACGTCATTGTAAAACTGACGCGATTCTCGCTACGCGCTAGTCGGAACTAAAAACTATTTATTAAAAAAAATGCCATACTTCAAACGCATACGCATTACGGGGTTTTAGAGCGTGCCGTTATTCTACACGCGTCACGTTTGTGTTTCGATATTCGATTTTTCGCCGCCCGCCAAAATACCGGTATCAAAATTTCTCGGCGTTGTCGACAGCGAGCACCCGCCACGATTGCCCCGTTGCGTCGGCGTTTTCAGCCGCGTTCCGTTCAAATACGCGTACGAGTATCCGTCCGACAGTCGAAAATAAAGCGGCCCCACGACCGCGGCGGCGGAATTTTTCGAACGCCGGTCGCGACGGGGCACAATAGCCGCGCGCAATGCGTTACCGCTGCCATTATCGCATTCGGGGACGGGTAGCTTCAGACGGCGGTAACGTGAAACGTGATCAATTGTTCGTTTGGACATTGCACGCGAAATAATTACTCCGGCGTCATGATTTATACGCGCGTGATGCGCGCGCAACAACTAATTATAATTATTATTGTTATTATATTGTATCCGTGTTCCGCGTTACTTTACGGTGAAATGACACGCGCGATCAATCAGCACGTGCCGGCGTACGGACAGGCGATATTATAAACGCTATTCCGGTCGGCAAAACGGCGGCCTTTCAGCTTCCGGCCGTAGCCGAGGGCGCGTACCTCGTATCGGTTTCACTGTTCCGCGCGCGTTTTGTTTCCCGTCTGTGTAACAACCGTTGTACCGGAACGCTCCCGGGCGCCGACAGTCGAACACCGCGGGTATGTTTACGGTACCCGGAACGTTTCCGTCCAATAGGCGCGTCGAGAAGATCGGTTTTTTTTTTCGAATCGTTTATAACCATTTAAAATTGTTGATTTTTCAGTTCAATGCGGTTGACATTGTATTCTCCCGTCGAAAATGCCCGAAGTGTTTATTCAAGGTCCATTTCAACTTGACAAACCATACTTAACGGTTAAAGTTATGCATAATGTAATCATTCATTATTATTATTATTATTTTTTTTTTTTTTACAAAGGTTTAAAATTCAATTTTTTATAGAAATTACGAAATTTTAGAACACATTTTACCTGACATTGCTCAGAATCAGTTTTTATTCATAGTGAGAGTATAAAATTCATGATATGAGATGAATGTCAGATGACGCACTTTTTAAAAACCACCCGGCCTCTAAAAGTGTTTTTTTACAATGTCGTCTGTGATTTCCGTAAATTTATTTGTTTTAAATAACGTTTAATCAAATTCGTGTATTACACAACTTGAAATAATCTCATTTGAATTACAAAAAACATCTGTGGGTGAGAGTTAAATTATTTAACTCTCGTCTATAATAAAACGTCGATGTAATTTATTTCCCATGATATATTATGTGTCATCAATTATGCTATTTAGTATTTGCAGTTCGGTTTCAAAAGTTTGAACCAAAACGTAAACTTTAAGTTTCAATTTACATACGATAGTATGTAAATGGTCCCGTTTAAGTTTCGACTGATGCCTACGTGACAACGGCATCAAATATTTCCGTCGGAGAAACTCATGTTGCTACGCCAGTGGTGGGTCCGGGGGGCGAGGTGATGGTGTCTTGTGGCCGGCGATATCAAAATGCGAGAATCTTCTACTTTTAAAAACTCATTTGCGCTTTTGTATCTTAGTAGTGGGATAAAAGCGCGAAAATCAATTGTATTACCCGATACAATGTCGTACCCGCTGCACTTTCAGTTTAAGTTTAAAATGTGGCCCACGTTATATTCAGCTCTCAAATATATATGTAGTATTTTATATTATAAAAACAACAGTGTTCGAGTTTAGTTGAAGTTTAATTTTTTTGCGTCATATTTTATCGTAAACAATTATATTAGCGGTTGACAATCATTTAAAATAACTATACAATAGGTATATACAGATTGATTATTTTGGGGATGAGATTCTTAACAACCACAAGTTCATAGATGTATAGATCATTGTTTGACTTTATCAGTCGTTTAACTACCTTCCCAACTTTCCATCCACAACAGTGGCTGCAACCACGTACGAAGTATGTCCGTCTTTTTTTTTTTTATTAAGTACGCACATAAAACATCGTATTCTGAATAATCTTTTCGCTAATTTAAATGAATGCGCGTATTCCGAATACAAAACAAGAATATTCTTTATTAGAACTGCGGGTTCTATTCGCATACATTATGGAAGATCGCCTACAAAAAACGATACAATTATGATAACAATTTTGTTTTTGCAGTGCCCGAACGTCGAAAACCCAATGTATGTGCGTGATCGGGTTTATATGGATCATCGGTCTGGCTCTGAGTTCGCCGATGGCGTACGCCCAGCGCGTGGTGATGTTCAAGGTCGACTGGCCGTTCTGCCAGAACGTGAACCTGTCAACACGTGCGATGCTCGGCTACAGGGCTCTGCTGGTGATCGTCCAGTACGTGATACCGCTGTCCATCATGACTTGGGCCTATTCCGGGATCGGGTTCGCCCTGTGGGGCTCCTCGGCCCCTGGTAACGCGCAGTCCCAGCGAGATTTGAACCTGATGAGGAATAAAAAGCGGGTAAGTGCTGTAACGCGGACCCGTACTGTAATGATCCGAAAAATAAACGGCCGAAACGTGGTTTTTCAAAAAGTAGGAATCCAGAAAGTAAAACGACCAGAAACTATAATCGTGGAAAGTTATTTCCCAGAAAGTAGTATTAACATAAATATAAAGTTTATTCTTCCGCGGTATGCTAGCAGATAACGTAAAAAAAAAAAAACATAACCTGAAAATTCAAATATTCCAATATCGCTTTGTTTGGTTGCTTTCCAATATCCGCCTCTATTTTATAACTTTGTCGAAAATAACCCACGATTATTTATGCCATATTGTTAACGATTTCGGGTAGGTCAGAGGAAATATATTGAATTTATGGAAAACTACGATCCGTACAACTACTTTCTGCGATTTAATTTTCTGTTAGTTTTGCATTCTGAATTTCTTACAGGGTCCAGTTTTTCGTTCCGAAAGTAAAACATAATATTCGGATAGTGATAATAATTATTATATTTATTGGGAGCGGGGTTTTCGGTCGAAATATTATAACCTGCGATTGCCCAACGGAAATAATCGTGATATTTGTAGGTACTGAAATATCTTTGAGGGGTTGTCTAGTCAAATAAAATATCATATTTTTAAGTATTTCGCATAATATTCGCGATGAATTTAGATTAACATTCGGTGTTCATGAGAAACTCGAATTTTCGATAGTATACATTTTGGACGGAAAGAAACAGTTCGGCCAAGTGAAAACTTTTAGAATCTTCGATCACTTTTTTTTTTTTTTGCTAACACTTGATCTTCGGCCAAATGTTTACGACCAGATTATCATCACCGTTCTATTTTTCCGTATCATGAACACGGTCGGACAAACGACGAGGGCATCACGTTGTTCCACCAATTTCGGTACAGATCAAAAACAGCAGAGCCAATTTTCAATTTAAACACAAAAATAATAGAATATTTTCTGAACTTTAATTAGGTACTCTATACATTGTTTTTTGTTCTGGTGACAGTAAAATTGTTTTTTATTATTTTGATGAATAATAAAACCTTGCTTCATATTCATTGCAACAAACTTCATAGCAATACAAAATATAAAATTTAAAAAAAAAACAACAACACATTAAATTGAACATATTTAATTCTATTTTTGTTTGAACCATCTGTGACCATTTTAATGGTCCTTGAAGCTGAACGTTTTAATTTTGGTCTGAACAAACCATAAGTAATATAACGTTTTTGAATAATTAAAACGATAAATTAAATGAAACCGTGCACTGACATAGTACCCACTTGTATAGACTATAGTAGTGTACTATCACAATGTGATAGTCGTGATATTAACTTTTTTTTATCTAAATTTGTTGTCCGTACAGTATATTCTTCCATTCAAAACAAAACTTGAATTTTAACTGTTGCGCCGTGATACTAGTAAATAAAATAACAGAGTCCCGTATTATTATTTCCGGTAACTTATTAAATGATAACTAATTAAATATGCAACGTCAACTACATTATTCACACTTGGAAATAGTAAGCGGTTTGCAAATATAATTTGTTCGTATGCACTGTAAATGATTGTTTGGTTTACGCTACGTTAACAACATGGGTAATAGTGCGTTTTGATGCGATTTGGAAATAGTTTCGGCACATACTAACTACGTCATTCGATTTCTTGCGATATTTTCTGTCAGAATATTATCGTTGAAGTATAACTCAATTTTGCTAATTTTGTCTTCCCTCGATTTCGAACTCACATTTTCTCGTTTCACCGACGTTTTTTGCCGGTTTTTCTACGTTATTACGTAAACTAAAATTTAAATCAAAAAAGTTATTTCCTGTAGAAAAGCACCCAATTAGACATAATTTTCTAACAGAAACCACGCCCGATGTCGATTATCGGAACGATATTTCTGGTAGAAAAATAGTTTACTGACAAATATAAAAAAATTGCATTGTAAAACCCTGCAATACCTACATTCGTCATTACGTTCAGAATGTAATAACGGCTTTCATATATTTCGCATCCAGTGAACAATTTCCGATAATTTAAGATATCTACTTCACTGTTTTATATAATGGTATGGTATCGGTATAGGTAATACAGTTTTATAAAAAAAAAAAAAGCTCTCGAATATTACACCAAACATATTTAAAAGTTTCACTTGTTCGTATGCAGAACATTTTTTTTGTTTTTACGATTTAGTCAAAAGTATACGTATGTTAACGTTGCACAATAATGACTACATTTTCACTGAAAATTCTTAAATATCTTGTAAAATTATTCCGCGTCTCTGTATAATATTAGCATGGTAATACGGCCGATCCATCGTGTACAGGCTGTTCCACGAAAATATACCCCTTGAGAATATCTCCCGGGATAATTCACAGGGTTGACGACTGTGAAAACCGATGTTATCACGTAACGTGGTTAAGTTATTTCTCTAATAATCGATTTTCACACGAATTAGTAGAATTTAAAACAGGTGTAATTCAGAAATTATTCGTCTGATATAAATGTGTGATACATTGAAATGTTCAGAAAAATAAACTCTTCAGAATAGCTATACTAACAATTTTCTTAATAAAAAAAAAAATTTAATTCAAATAAAAATATTTTCAGTTCTTTTCCCTGTAAGTAATAGAAAAAAACAACAGAATTTGATTATCTTAGCATTTTTGTTAATCAGTTTAAAATTGTAATATGATCGATTTCGTTATAGTTCCGGTACATTAGCTGTCTTTTGGCCGGTTATTTGACACTATTATTATTGGTTTTATTTTTGTCGACTGTATAAGTTTCAAATATTGTTCGTTTCCAGTCTCGTCCACTATTCAGTCGCCGTTATCATATCCCGTCGTCATCCCTATAAAGATTATTACTATCGTTGTATGTATCGTAGAAATGATACAAAACTGTTTGGTCTTCGAAATAATCGTAGTCGTCGTAGCACTCCACTGAAACAGATATATTATCACTGATAAAAAAAATAAAAAAAAAAAAAAAATGGAATGTCGAATAGATATGGAACAAATATTTTGAAAATTACATGAAGAAGAGTACGTTTTAATATACACGGAGAGACAAACATGATATCATTAATTCTTATTTGGTGGTTCAAGCATTCACTTATCAATTTGTTAGTAATTATACTTTGTTTGAAAGTGTAAAAATATTTAGCATACGCATTTTTTTGGATCCGTTCTACACTGCTGTATTTCGAACGAAATTATTTTCAAAATTTTTGAAAAATATAATTTTTAATACTCTATAGCAAAATGTATATATTGGCCCGCTGAACATTTTTTCGGCCTGCCTAGTTGTTAGCACACCTCTCAAAAAGTCGAAATGACACCCTTGTTCTAAGTATATTTTGTATTGTATCGAGCAAATTTTAGAGGCTCATTAGCCTCATCTGATGAGCAGCCACTTCTTAACTTCTTGGTTTGTAATTGGCCAGACACAATAATAATATTAATATAATATTCGATCGTAATAAGCGTATACGAATAAATAAAATACTGTTTTGTAGTAAACTTTGTTTAACGTTTTGTCATGTTCAAAAAAAAAAAAAATTAAAAATTAAATACTTCATTCCATTTTCAGGGATATGTGTGTGTGTTTTTCTCAAATTTATTTTTTACAATATCGATCCGTGCATGATGGCGCTCGTACCGTCCGTTGCAGTTATTGTCTTTTATTTTAGTTGGTTGGATTTCGAAGAAATACGACTGTTCGGGATTTTTTTTCTTTGCCCGATTTATTTCGCGTTTCTATACTCTCCGGGGACTTGTATAATACCCTCTCTTCCTCAAAAATACGTGTAACCACTATATTATTATTTCATAGTACATACGCCATTCCATGCCGAATCACAGACAAAACCGAATTCGCTTTTTTTTTTCATCAATTTTCCGATTGAGTAATAAGGAGATTTAAAGAGAACGTGATAACACCTGCATTAATTCGATAGTGAAAACTGTTTTGCGTGAAACAATTTAACGTTTTCTGAAAAGTCATATGTATTTCAAAAATATCTATTGAGAGACGTCTCTTTTTTAGACGATATTTTATAGAAATGATATCGGTGTCTGGGAAGTCTGTGCCCCCTGAATCCCCCGTAAATTCACCATTTACTTAGAATACATGCAATTCCACAATTGTAATTGTGTTGTAGAGTGATTGTTATTATGTAAACGTAAACACCATTAGCAAGAAGACGCGATATCCACTTGTGATACCTCCGTCTTACAAACGTCTAAACAAACTAACTGAATTGCGTTCAGCGGAGAAAATTTTGCGCTGATAGTTTTAATTTTAGACCTTCTATCAAATTTAAAGGTAAATTCACTATCAGTGTTTATATACGCCGCACAGTGACTTGACGCTTATCAAATTGAACTCTTGTGTCATATTATTATTATGTGTAATCAGTAGAGAATTATATCCAACATTTGATATCAGTTTCGAGTACGCGATTTGGTTTGAATTTGACCTAGTTAAAGAAGTCATAACATAATTCCGCTATACATCATAATGTAACAAGCAATACATAACTGACTTTTGAATGTATAAATTGTTTTTGTTATAACTTTGCGATTTTAACGTTTGCCTATTTCAAAATTATCATTGAGTCTTTGGCAAGAGTGGAATTTTGTTAATGTTATTTTTATCTTTTTCTATTTAACCTATTCTTTAACTAACGTTTTAAATAACTGTTTTTGACGTTTGCTCTCGGTATTTTAAAATTATTATGAACATTACAAAGAAAATATAAATATTTGAGGGGGGCAGGTAAATATACTTATGTAAAATTATGAAGTTACTAAAAAACTAAATATATTATTATGACACTAATAACGTTGATTTTCAATGATACGTGATTACCTAAGTAGATACTCAGAAGTGTATAAGTTTTTCGAATAAAAGCGCTTGTTTTACGGTTTTTCGTAAATATTTTAGTTATTGATTACAAAATAGATACTTACGACGACACGGAATTGCAATTTTTTATTTGTTTAAAAGTTGATTTTCATTTTTTTTCGAGTTGATTTATTTTTAGTTTTTATTTTGTTTCGTGTCGTTAAAATTGCCTATACCTAATCCCTTAGATATGGAAGGTGTTACTTCGTCGTAATGCTCTTATTGTTTAAATTTTTAATTGGCATATATGTTTGGAAGAGAATAAATGAGTTGTGAAAGTGCTCTCAAACTTAATCGCCCTGAGAATACCTGAAATATATCCTAAAAAGGCAAAATTAAATTTGTTAATACGCATGTAATAAATCCATAGGTGCCATTTAAAATACGTTTGACTTTTCTGTGGTATTCTGCTTAAAACTCTCCGGTCCCAAAATCTATGAATATGTGAGCTTCTTTTAACAGTTTTGTATTTTTTAATCGATTATTATCGTTGATATTTGATTGATAATAATTATTGTCTAGGTCATCAAAATGCTCATTATTGTCGTGGCTCTGTTCACGCTCTGCTGGTTACCCCTGCAAACATACAATCTGTTGCAGCACATATTTCCACAAATAAACGAGTGAGTATAATAAAAATGTTACTACATAATTATATTGAATACAATTATTTAACTGTTCGTTTTCGGACTTTTCGCTCTTTTGCGTGTCAAAAATATGTTTTTTCTGTTTTTCTTCAACAGGTATCCGTACATCAATATCATATGGTTTTGTTTCGACTGGTTCGCGATGAGCAACAGTTGCTACAACCCATTTATCTATTCCATATACAATGTAAGTATAGCACACAAACTATGCAAATTAGACGTTTTTTTTTTCGCTTTTCATTCAATGATCGGAACACATAGACGTAAATAGCCCAAAACATTTTGTAGGCTTAATTTCAATTGGAAATACTATGTTTATTTATTACACACTTGGGGCTGATTTTTGAGGGGAATAACCCCTCTGAACCCTTTTCTATTTGCGCCAATAGACCGAATCGGGAGAAAACAGAAAAAATTGTTCGTTACATAATAATGAAATTATTATTTACATTATACAAACCTAATTATTTTTACGCATGACGAACGCTATCACAAAATAATAAAATTTATCATATCGATTATCATGATAAACGTCCTACTTAGATAATTCGAATTCTTTAGTAAATCGATTCTCGCGTAAACCGATTCTTACAATAATATTATACACGCGGTCTGAGCGCTAAAATACTCTTGTGTTTATACAATACGCTCATTGATATAATTAAATTTACTTTACGATCACCGAAAATAGATACGTTTAGCTCACAGTTTATACGATTTTTATTTTAGCGGAAAGACCTTCATCGGCGTATACGAATAAAAAATGTGCACAGTTCCCTAAATAATATATATACGTGCCGTAGTAGGCCTATATTGTTCACCAAAAAAATTCTTTCGGCGACAAACATCACGGATAATACGTGACCGGTGGAATCAAATTGAGCACGATCCCTATTTTTGTACAACCCGATTGAGTACGGTCCGTATTTTTTAACAACCTCTCTGCGCACAGTCAAACGAATGCAACGATGCCAGTTTTTCCGCCTATCTATAACCAAGTACCGACATATACGAGTCTTTATACTGGAATATTATACTCGTATAACATACTATACGTTAAATGCCGAGGTGAATATTCGTCAATCGTTTTGCTTTACGGTCATAAAACTAACAGTCATAAAAATATGACTTGTATAGAATGGCAAAAATGTATTGTCATAATGGTTTATGACGAATATTTAACGAATAAACATTGTAAAGGTATACTAAAATGTTTATCGAAAGTATGAATTTTAAGGACAAAAACGACAATTTTATATTGGAATATATTAAAAGTGATGTTTATTTTATAAACAGTAAAGACGGCAATGTTGTACGTATTTCAGCGATCAATCGTTTCGTATTTTGAATTCTTATTGTTTGATTGTATCTGTGCACAATCGGGTCGTGCAAAAGTTGAACTGTGCTCAATCAGGTTGCCACCAACGTGACATACCGGTTGAGATCCACGAAACAAGGATTATTGAACATCATTGTTATAAAATATAATATTATACAAAATTTCGAGATACCATAATGTTTTAATTTCGAAGTGACCTTCTTCTTTCTAGTTCTTCATTTTTTTCTTCTTCCTACTTTGAAGAACTCTAGAGGTCAATGAGGCCCATGACCCATCGATAAAAATGAAAGTATGAAACTACCTTTTAGTTCTCTCTGTCTCGAGTTGTTTCACTAAAATCGTCTATCCCTATAATTGCTAATTCTTGATTTTATCAATTCATTAATTCTTCCTCTTGTCCACTTTCCCCGGGGTCTTCATTAAATAAAATTCTAATTATATAATATATTTCTAGGAGTTTTTTTTTTTTTGCTGGGATGAGGTGAAACACGGAATATTACATTAATGTAAACCACAGATAATATTCTCAATTGTAACATTTTATAAAACGGAATAAAATAAAATACTACAGATATTGCGAGCATAAAACATTTCAATAACACGTTTTAAAACCTCTCGTACTGATCAAATTTCTAATAATGCAGTAAAACCATTTTTTTTTTTTAATTATTTACAAATTTTAAACGTTTAGGATACCACATAACATACAAGCGCGCGGTACGATATTGCATACTATAAAGCATAACATATTGCATAACGAAATATAATGCAGGCACCCTGTCTTTCAGTCGCCTGTTATAATATTATTATTTTTTCCAATGGAATTCACGTTTAAAAAAATGTTCTATTGAATTTAAATCTCGAAGATTTATAATACGAAAAATACAAATGGGATATATTATAATGACACGCTAAAAATTAATATATCTAAAAGTGTGAATTGGTAATAGTAATAAAAAAAAACCGAACGGGATGTATTTCGCATCGTGAGTAAATTATTAACTGTTGTAGGTTAAACACAGAATAATTATTTTAGTTTCAACAGCGAACGTGACGGTAAACCATTGCGAACATAAAACGATTTTCAGTAGAGCTCGATCAACCGGACGCCTTTAGTTATAATAATCGTGCTACATGTATTTTCTTTCCGGCTACATAATCTAAAAAAAAAAAAACCAAAACCAAAAAGTTCAAGATTCAAATGCATAAACTATATTAACTTGAGTATTTTCTATGATGGCCGCATAATCCGCAAAGAAACCTGAAAACCCAAAATTTTCAAATTCAAATTCAAAAACGACGTGCGCATAAGAATACAGGAATTCAATAAAACACATTTTAGATACTAAGCGTAGCGAGGTTTTAATATGATGATCATTTTTTATTATTTTTTTTATCTGTGAACAATTTTTATACCAGAAATCTTGCTCCAATTTTCAAATGTAATCCCTTTTCTGATAGAAATATTTATCTGGTTGGCACCTTGAATTGCAATTTTTTGATTTTTTACGCGGTTTTCTTAATCATTAGGAAAAACGAGAAAATATATGTGCAGAAGAAACTTCGATCCGAATCGATTTTCGTTAGCAATGGTTTGTCGTTGTGTAAAGATATAAATTAAATTTCCCTCTAATCATACCTCTCAATTTCTCACCTACAACAATGGCCCACCCATCATGCGAAGTATGTCCATCTTTGTTTAGGATAAAGTCCTATCGTCTTTAAAAAGAAAAAAAACGAAGACATTTGGCCTGAAATTAGAACCTAAACAAGACAGTGGTTTGCTTAATAATGTTTATTTTAGTAGCCAACATTTTACTACACCCATTTTATTTGACTATGTCTATCAAAATACGTATATCATTTTATACGTACATTATGACGTAGTTTCGAATTTCCTTTTTGGGCATTCTTTTTTTAAAAATATTTTTTCAAGTATTATTAACTGCACCATTAAAAAATATATCTGCATTCTTGTTTTACCCACCAGCATTCGTTTTTTCACTGAATCGCGGGGCTCCTCAAAAACACTGTCAATGCGCCGCTGTTTATCTAGGCAGGTACTTTTCCAATGAACATTAATAATACCGACGCGAATTCTACAGGAAAAATTTAAACAAGAGTTCAAGATGCGATTGGACTTTATGGCGGGCAAGAGGCGACTGACCAGAGATCTGAGCGCGTTCTCCAGCGGTCGGTTCGAGTGGCGCACCAATCACGTCAACACGCACGAACGGAACCTGAAGCACAGTTCGATCGTTACCAACGATACGCCACTGATACTCACGCCCGACGCGTGAACGACGATTAAAGAAAACGCTCGACTTTCGCCGTTACGCGGAGATGATATTTTATTTTCCCATCTCTTTCTCTATCTCTATATTATATCTATTATGATAATTATTTATAATTGTTGTTTCCCCGCGGTCGCCGATCATCAGAAATGATTTTTCTCGCGTTTCCCCCTGGCCCGGTTTATCCGAACGATTATCGAATCGTTGTATTTTAATATGTACCTCAAATCAAATAACTACCCGCCGAAAAAAAAAAAAAACAACAAAAAAACGTGAAAATGGACTTTTTCAGATAAGTGTGCTAAACGTCTTATTATTTATTGTAAGAACAACAATATTGTTGTATTTTGTTTTACCGATTGATGTTGTCGAAATTGTTTACTTGTATTCTGTGTATATGAATGTATTTATTTGTTTCCATTTCCGAAACGTCTCCATGCCGTCTCGTAAACCAAAATCAACCTTCCGTTTTATTCTGTTTCTTTTTTTTTTTTTTTACGTTATAATGATATATCGTAATTATACGCGACTACCTATATTGTCATATAGAGAATGTTCACATAAATGTATTTTTCTTGAACACGACGTGTAGACTTTGTGTATACATGTATTTTAACGAAACCTCAAATAAATATTATTATTCTCGACGATAACCAGCTGCACGTGTTAATTATTATAATACATTGGGTCTCCGATGCATAAATCAATACGAAAACGACAAATTTTTTAAATTGTTTTATTCATTTTTTTGGATTATATGTAATATATGCAGTGTTGAATTCGAAATTTCGTTCCAATTTTCCACTCCTCTGAACATTTTATTTTCGCGGAAAACTATCCAGTGACGTAGCCAAACGAAATTTCGTTGATGGTGGGGGGAGGGGGGGTGGTGAAACTTTGCAATCTTCTCAACCACAAACCTACTTAACTTAATAAAAATCAATATTAATACTAAACGTGAAGTTATCAAAGATATCTTTGGTGAAATTTACCACGCAATTTAATCGAATTACCTGTACTACGTGCTGAATTAATGTATCATGTGTACCGTGCGTATTCGTTCAAAATACCTACAACACGAATTACCGCAAACGAAGATAATGAAATGTACTACGATAACTTATAGGTGAGTAATATTAATGATAATATTGTTTATTATAACATCACTGTGTACGTTTTTTATTTTTTTTTTTATCGAAAATGCATAAGACTGCGACATCAAAGCAAATATAAATTGCGTTTATAATTATTATGCATCTGATCTTGTGACCGGAAAATGTTTAAAACTTTCGGAAATTAAAAAAAAAAAAAACGTACACATTATTCGGGTTTATTCGGCCCCCGGGACCATCTCGTCTCATAATCTACACTCAGCCACTCAGCCTGTACATCGTCAAAATCTGAAAATTTGGTCCACATCCTAAGGCTTCCATTTTTATTACTATACTTTTTATAATACGTCTTCCAATCACATTATCCTTGGCTTTTCCACGGGTAGTTTTCTTTGCTGAGATATTTTCCAGGACTGCGCGTATATAGTGGTGAATATTACATGCGTATACCTACAGCCTATCGCAAACTTCAGTTTGTGCGGCTAAAATTGTTTTTCGTTTAAACGTTAAAAAACAATAGTTATAATATTATCGTACAACCGTTGCGAATTTACCGGAAAATGTCAATAAAACTTCATGTTAACTCGCGATTATTCTCGTGGCGGACAGAGAATATAGCCGACTAGGAATATGAGCGATATTATAATAATCATTAAACGGGAACACAACTGCAGGTAGGTATTGTAATTCCAAATTATAATTAGTCTGGAACGGTCAGTAGTTTCCTAATATTGATTAATAATAATAATAATTATTATTGTAATTACAATATTGTATGATGGTCGATCAATATAACATAAGACATCCATTGTGTATTTTGTATATTGCATATGTGTAAACTTTCTTTTTGAAATTTGATTTTTTAGAGCATTGAAGGAATAATTAACTTTATTAAAATGTCATATTTCTGTTATTTTTATCGCCCTTGTTTTAGGACGCGAAATTACTAACTACTTTTGATTTTAAAATAGCAACCTGTACAAAGAATTCCATAAATAGATAAAAATTTAATTTGAATAAATGTCAGTGTCGACATTATCGCAATTTACGTCAACCCGTTGATTTTAATTTTAAGTTTGGATAGGGAAAGAGCACTTGAGTATAATTTGTGCGACGGCGCAGCGCGCGAGATTTAAATAATACTACACTACTTTCCTCCTACCGACAAAATGACAAACTTAAAAGTGGAATATCTCGTTAACGGGTTGACGGAAATAATAAATTTCAACCAATTCAGAAATTCGCACTAGAATTTGCTTCAGAAGACGAACATGAGCCCTTTTCAAATAAAAGGTAAGTATAACTACGGATCCTTAACTAAAAACAAACTAAAAAAGATTTTTGTGTAGATAAAAACCATAGTTTGCAATAAATTTGCCAAACTAGATTTTTTTTTGTCAAAAAGAGTTCTAAATTAATGATTAACTAATACATGACGAAGATGTAACGAAAAATTATGTTTTATTGAGTTGAACTTGCTTAGCTTGCAGTTTACCATGTTTCAGTTTATAAGGAATTTGTACAGACAAAAGACTCTTTAGACATAAAATCACAATTTTTTTTTTTATAAAATATAATAATTTAATCACTATAGTAGGTATATGTACAGTTTTATATATAAGCATAATCAATAATATTAAAAAAAAAAATGAATAAATTAATATATTTTGATTGTATAGTTATATTGAATCACAGCACTATTACATGGCAACTCACATTATATAATATTGAGTTCACGTTCTATGGATAGCGACAGTTCTTAGCGTAGCCTTTTCCATCTATATAAAAAGAAGTAGTACACATAAATAAGTAATTCACGTTAAACAGATAATAGATAAATAGATAAAGAACCGGCAATTAGCGCGGAAGTGTTATAGCACCAAAAAGGTTTATTTTAAATGTTTAAATGACAATTAAGAGGATTCGAAACGGAATAGGAGTTCCCTTATAACGGTTTTTTGTCTAACACACGTGCATCATAAAGAATAAGACAAATTTCTTGTCCAACTGATATAGTGATGTGAGTTCTGAAAACAGATTTGAATTCAACACGAGAAGCGTACATGTGATCAGCCGATTTGAATTTAGGATTTTTTTTATTATATATTTAATTCAAATGTTTGTAAAATAAAGTCGGAAATTCGAAAAAGTGGCTCAACCGATCTCATTTACACTTCACGTTGAATTCAAATTTGTTTTTAGAACCTTTATCGCTTCACTACAAAGATGACCTTTACTGATCAATACTGCATGTGTGTTGGACAGAAAAAATAAGGGATCTTTTTCCATTGTACTAATAAAATTAGCGCTATAAATAACATCACTGTTAATTGAAAACTTTACCGAATAATATTTCACCAGTTGAAAATCCCGCCAAACATGAAAGTTGTAAGAAATGAAAATCCAATCGCATAGTCATAAGTTGTAACTGTTTGGTCTAGAATCATTTTTAGTGATTGCACGACTGCTTTATTAAAGTTATATTATGTTGGATTATTCAACTAAACGTGTTTATTCCCGTCGTTAAATTTTAAAAATATGCCTAAGGATGGCCTTTAAAACTCTAAAATGTCCAAACAATAAATAAAATGTCGCATCACTGGAGTATGAAACAAGGTTTTTCGTTACTGAAAATATTATTCGAATGCTACACAACTTCCGGGCCCTTATCGCAGAATTAATATAGGTACTACAGTTAATAACAATCATTATAAACTACTTACTTTTTATAAGAACAGCATAAAAGACAAATGGCGAATATCGATACGAATCCGATGAAAATCGCGATGCCCAAAACCGACATTTGTACCCACGTAACAGTGGACTTGACTTGTTTCGGGGAACATCGCTATAAAATGATAATATTACAAAACAGACGATTAAGTAAAGTTATTTTCGTCCCTACGATAACAGAGGGCAATTCAGTATTATTTGTTCATCTACGACTCACCTCGATATTTTTTACTTCGTATTGTTTGTAGACGTTTTTGAGTTCGTGATTGCTGGGGTCCTCCAGTAACGATACGGTATCTTTCGGATTGTAATTATTATTCCGGCCGACCAGTTGAAAACACGAACCCGTACTACTGAAATCCAGACTACCGTCGTTTTTCGAATAGAATTGAGTGTCGTAGAGGTTCAGACTGGTGTGCGGTATGCCCAACGATTTTTCCACGTCTTCTTTGAATTTCTTGATGTAATGGCCGACGACGTTCGGGGGTCTCGTAAAAACGAACTTCAGCAGTCCGCGGTCTTTGACCAGGAATACCTATACACACATTATGTATTTACAAATTATTATTTTTTTCTCTATAATATTTGATAACTGCTGTACCTTGATCGTAGTGTTGGAATGTCGTCCGGGTACGTCGCTGTTGACCGCGGCGACGACGATGTCAAAATGTCCTTCCGAATACGATACCATCGACGCCGTCGTCCTGATCTCGCCAGTCGATTGGTCCAAAAAAAAAGGCCAACTCTCGATGTCCATCGGACTTTCCGAATGTTGGACAAACGTCAGATTCGTGATGTGATACGTTATCGGTTCGGCCGAACTATCCACGTCGGTGGCCTGTATCGTTGTCACGAGCGTATCCAGCGGAACGCTAACCCTGACACCTAAAATTTATCGAGACTTTTATGGATATTGACCGACGTATTATTAATACATGTTATTATCGCTAGAATTAATTCAAATTCAGGCATCAACGAGGTCGGGGGAAAAGAGATCAATAGTATTTGAAGAAGATTTTACGTAAATGATATGGTTTCTCAAGAGAAAAGAGGAAGAGTATAATACATATGAACAAAGTTCAAATGCAGAACTGAGGGTAATGTTTAATCAGCCAGATATAGTAAGAGTTCTCAAAAACCGAAGGCTAAGCTAGGCAGGGTACGTTTAGTGAACAGAAGGTCGATAAATAAAAACGAGATCACAATGTGAAAATCCGACAAGGGAAGATCGAGAGGACGACCACGGATTAGGTAGCTCCCGGGAATGAAGAACAGCGAACATCTAGCCATAGATAAGCATACGTGGAGGGGCTTTACGGAAGTAATGGTGAGTGTACAAGACCCGAATCAAGCAAAAGAACTCGATTATCTCGCTCACCCAAAGTTACGTTTTCTTCGACGAATTTCGGTAGATTGTCGTCGATGTCCAGCACTTTGATCACCACTTGCCGTTCGCTGGGATCCTGTTTGTTGTACGTTTTCTGTAAACTGTACGCTTTCGTTTTTCGTTTAAAACATTTGATGGTCAACGCGAATTCCGACACAGATTCTCTATCGATTTCTCCGTTGACCCTTAATTCGGCCATGTTACCAGAAGAATTTAAATAAAACTGATTGCCATCGTTGCCGTCTGTAGAAAAATCGATTTGACGGACATGTTGTTATTTACCGAACATTAACCGAGAAGTATTATAAAATCAAAGTTATATACACCTGTAATTATATAATCGATTAGAGCGTTGTCTCCGATATCAGGATCGTACGCCATCAAGTAACCCACCAGGGTGCCTTTAGGCGACTCCT